GCTTCTCTGTGCACCCCGAGTGATATATTTGGTCTGCAAGCCAACAACTGAGGTGAGGAATCAGATGCCGTTCAACGCCAACTTCCATTAGCTTCAAACAGCATGGCCAGTGGTCATGGCAGCTGTAATCCAACAACATATGGAGGGCCACAGGTTCCCTGCCCCTGTAGGGTAGCCACAACCTTCCAGTAATTTCTTAAAAGATCTGGTCAGAAATTTCACAGGTGAATCTTCTTGATAGGAGGAATCACCTGTTCAATATCACATTGTTTCTAAAAACTTAAAAGGGCAGATATCTAGCCATGCATGAGACATGGAGACCCTGGTCTACTATTTGTGTGTGTTTTCCATCTTAGAGTTCTAAGCTCCTGTTCCCTTAAGAACTTTCCAGCAGGCAGAACTTCCACAGGCACAGTACTTCCCACACTAGAGTATACAAAATGAGCCATCTGTCTTTCATCTCTCTCTCTCTCAGGCAGCTATCAAAAGGCACTGGTGTTTAGCAACTGCACTTGGATCAATGGGCAAAGATTCTAAACACTGGATTATCTAGGTTAGATTTTTATTTATAACATTTCCCCACCCTCCTTGAAAAGGTAAACAGGGGAACACCACTGCAAAAGAAGGAACCAAAGAGAGGAAAAGGAAACAGGATAATGAGAGAAAGGGAGCCCTTAACCTGCTCATGAAAGTTCATCATGTTCTAGATATGAGTACATTATTTAGAACATGAACAATGGTCAAGAACTTCATTGGCATTCGTGATAGGGCTGTGCATAGACCCCTCTGCCCTGTCCTGGGACCCCAATCTGGCTTTCCCAGTCATGCTGCCCCATGCTGTCCCAGGACCATACATCCAGCCCCAGGTCAGACCCCAGTTCAATTTGAGAGGAGGGTAATGTTTAGGATGTTTAAACTCTATTTAAATACACAGGTGGGGAGAGACTGTGTAAGTAGCAAGAAACACACATTTCATAGTTCTTCGTTTTATAATACTGTGCACTGATTTAAGACCATTAGTACAGGAAAACAGTGCATAATAATAATAAATCAATAATGTACCAAGCATGTAACTGAGGTAATTTGTTTGTCCATTAGCTCAGTGATAGAGCATATATATTGTAGCAGCCTCAAACGCAGCATTGTTTGGGAATTCTAACAAACCCAAAAATCAGTCTGGTTTTGAAAGGTTCAGGCTGCCATCTTGGCTTGAAATGATGTTCAGTTGTATCCAAGCATAAACAAAAGCATGCTCCTTGATCTACATGGAACCTCCAAGTAAAATAAAAACAGTCATGATATTTAAGAGATGTCCCAATGCATAGTGATCAAAGAAACAACTTTCAAAGATAATATACTATCTGCTTCTATGGCCACAGGTAGTATGCCTCTGAATTCCAGCTGCTGTCAATCGCAGGTGGGAATAAAGTTGTTGCACCCAGGTGGGCTTCCCATGAACATCTGGTTGACTACTGCTGGACAAGATGGGCTATTGGCTTGATCTAGTAGAGCTCTTCTTATGCTCATACATTGCTTCTTCATGTAGAAAACCCAGTGAAAGGACCTCAGCAAGCAGCCTTGAGAAAGATCTCTGCTTGAGGCTTGAGCGGCTGTTGTCAATCAAACAGATAGTCCCAGGTTAGACGAACCAGTGAGCTGACAGTGTAAGTTAACTTCCTAAGAGTCCTATTTGATCACTTTTGCTTGCTTGCCTTCAGATTTGCTGTGCTCTGGGAAAGCACAGTCTGCTTGGGAAGAAAAACATATCTGGCGACACCTCTGCCTGCCAGCATGCCATAGATCGGCAGGATGCCTTGATGGAATTGGCACTCTAGGCACATCACGGATCAAAGCAGGGACCTGATCAGAAATAGGTGCAGCCAGTCACATGTCTCATGCTCAAAGCACCCTGCAGCACAAGCAAAGCAGTCTGGAGAGGGAGGCAAATGAAATTACCTTCAGCGCACCATAAATCTGGAACAAGGCTGACGTCAGCACCAGGCATCTCTGGGCAACTGCTAGGGTCCCAAAGCCCTGGAAGGGTCTTCTATCAAGGCCTGTTCTGCCTCCCCGTTATTTATAATTTTACTTGTCATGAACTCCTAACATGCCTGTGGGGCATTGTGGAAGGTGAAAGGGATGGCGACTCAGAATGGCTCAGTGCACTTCCACCACAGCCAGGCAAGCTGTCAGAGTTCTCACTGTCTTCCATAGTCCACAGACACCAGAGGACACTGTTCTGAGAGACCCCTTTTCCTGAACCTGATTCTGATCTGGAATTCTCTCTGCACTCAATGTGCATTTCTCTTCTCGTCTCTCCGGCGCAAGGCCAGAAAAATGGTGTCATCTTTCATGACAAAGTAACTGGAGAAGGGGGTTGAGATCTACGCCAGACTTGTTGCCACACCCCACATTCCTCCTCTTTCTCCTCAAATACTTCCATTCCATTACTGACGTCTTTCAGTGCGAACTTGGACACGTAGCAAGAACAAAGGGAAGAAACAGAAATTATGTGCATACAGATACTTTCCAAATATTTGGATCCCTGCATAGCTTTTCTTATGCGGAGCTCACCACTGGTCAGACCTTCCAGGATAGCTTGTGAATTAGCTCCTTTTTGATCTTCCAAATGTAGTTTTTGACTTGAGAGTTATTTCCCCTATTTTGGGATGTGGCTAGATTTCTTGTCGTTAATGAGGATCCAACGCTGAAATAGGGCACATAGTGCAAATCTCCTGAGTGTATGGGTAGGGAACAAGCTTTTATACTCTCATGCCAGCCAGCCAATCTAGTTGCAATAAGCCAGCTCCAGTCAGCCAGCATTGGAAAAAGAGAATGAGGCTGCGTACCAGGGCTGGCCCTATCGTGAGGCAGATGCTCAGTGGCGTGGAAGGGACAGAGCTGTGTGTGCCATATGGTGTGGCCTGCCTTGTACCTGCTACTCTAGCCTGCTTCCCTCAAGTGTAGTGGAAGATCCATTCCTTTCACTTGTATTGGAGTAAGATTAAACTAGCAGTCAAATTGGCTTGGGGAAGGGTGCCATCTTGCCCTTCACTTCAGGCATCAAAATGTCTTGAGCTGGCCCTGCTGCAGACACACTGTAATTTAAAGCTCATGGCTTCCCCCCAAAGAATCCTGGGAACCGTAGTTTGCTCCCCACAGAGCTGCAGTTCCCAGCACCCTTAACAAATCACAACTTTCAATGTGCTTTAGATGTACGGTGCAGCTGCCACAAATGGCGTCAAGAACATTGGCCCTCAGAAGTGAATGTCAAGTGATCTGTGCATTCTCATGGGCATTCAAAGAATAATAGAAATGTAGAGTTGGAATAGACCTCAAGGGTCATCTAGTTCAACCCCCTGAAATGGAGGGATCTCAGCTAAAGCATCCATAACAGAGGACATCCAACCTTTGCTTAAAAATCTTCAATGAAGGAGAGTCCACAACCTCCTGGGGAAGACAGTTCCACTGTCAAACAGCTCTTACTTTCAGAATTTTCTTGTTGTTGTTTAGTCGGAATCTCCTTTCTTGCAACTTGAAGCCACTGGTTTGAGTCCTACCCTCCAGAGCAGGAGAGAACAAGCTTTCTCAATCTTCCATGTGAGATCTTTGAAGATGGCTATAATATCTCCTCTCAGTCTTCTCTTTTCCAGGCTAAGCATACCCAGACCTTTCAACCATTCCTCATAAGGCTGGATTTCCAGACCCTCGATCATCTTGGTTGCCCTCCTTTGCACACGTTCCACCTTGTCAGCATCCTTCTTAAATTGTGGTGCCCAGAATTGGGCATTGTGGTCTGACCAAGGTAGAATAGAATGGGACTATGATTTCCCTTGATCTGGACCCCATACTTCTTCACACTGTGCTTCAATACAATCATTAATTATACTTGTCATTCTTGTATCCAGTTCTCCAAGCTCCACAGAAGGACAGTATGCAGTGGCAGACTTTGGGATTTCAGCAGCGCACCTTTGCGGTGCCAAAATTCGGCGCTTCCCTCTTCTCGCCTTCCATTGTTTGTCATTGTTGCGGTGCCCCCTGTGACGCCCTCTCAGCTCAGTGCCCGGTCGTGCTCCCCTAAATCCACCTCAGGCCTGTCATCCCATTTGACCTCTTCAACAACCACCCTTTTCTTGCGAGGAATCCTATTCGGAATAAGGGAATTTCCCTTAAAAAAAGGGAAACGTTGACAGCTATGACCCAGAGAGATGTAAGCTAGGCTGCAGAATGGAGAGAGAGTGTGTACCCCTCATACGTTTGAAGGGCGTAGCCATCAAATAAATAAATAAAAACAACTGACACATTGTGCCGCAGATAACTTGGCTCTGCCCCCCCCAACATAAAACCTGCTCCCCTAAAATAAATCCCGGCTATGCCCATGGAAGCACCCCATAAGGAATCTCACAAACTGTAGTTTACTCCTCACAGAAGAGGAGTACAATTCCCAGCTTCCTTCACAAACTACAGTTCTCAGGTGTTTGGGGGAGGGCGTTGTAGTCCAGTAAATTACCTATCCCTGTCCCTAATCTTAAGAAGCCCAACCCCAGAATAAAAATGTAAAATGCATCACCTGTTGTATTTCTGCCTGACGCGCAGCACGCAAGCAGCAACTCCAGGGCGCCAATGGAAGAACCAGATGGGGGGGGGGGAGAAGGAGGAGGAGGAGGAGGAGAGGCAGGAGAAAGCCGGAGGCGGAGAGGAGGAGTCCTGGCTGGGTGAACAGTAGCGCGCAGCCCAGCGTGCCGGGGAGCCAGTCTGGGCTGGGAGGCGACGGAGGCAGGACCCGCAGTCCGGGCGACGAGGGACCGGGGACGCGTGCTGCGAGCGGGAGGCGCGGCGGGAGCTGCCCACGTGCGCGCCCGCGGAGTCAGCTGCGCGCCAGGAGACGGGAAGCGCCCGCTCGGCGACCTTATGTTTCTGCTGGGGGGTCTCTGCAGCTTCGGAAGCCCGCGACCCCCGGCCCCGGAGAGCTGATCCTGCCCCTCCGGCACTTGGCTGGGATGAACTTGCCGGCTCTTCTCTTCTCCATCGGTTGGTGGACTTTGGGGCTGGTGAGTAACTCTGGGTTTCTTTGCTTTCCTGTGTCCCCCCACCCCACCCCTCACCTGGGTGCTGATATCATAAAGCGGGGTTAGTCTCTGAGCATGTGCAAAGTACCTTTCCCGCCGTTCATAGCTGAGCAGCCACAGGACGCGCGGGCTCCCACGGCGCCCCTTTATTTAAAAAGGACACAGTGAATAATTTCTCTTTTCTCTCCCTACCCTGCGTTCATATGATCCCCTCCCTGGGTGACTGCTCTTTTTAGGCTATAGGTGGCCCTCTGTTCTCAAATCGATCCACTTGGATATTTAACATCGCCAGTAACAACAGAGGAGCATAGAGCAAATTCCATAAAATTGTGGGACGAAAGTGTGAGCTCGTTCCCAGTGCTGACTTAGCATGGGAGTCCCCACTGCAGGTGTGACTGGGTGGAAATGGGTCAGAAATGCTCAGCCGCACATGTGAAATATTCCTAGACTTAGGATATAACAGCATTGCTGCTTCACTCATTTAGGCAACAAAGTGTGTGGGACTCACTCACCCTCTCTAACCTCCCTGTTTGATAGGCTGGTAACTAATTTGTTGTAACGGATCTTAAGCCCAGTCGTAAAAGCAGGTGAATTTGCTTGGTGAACTCTTGAGCATTGTGGATTGTGAGAGGGCAATGAATTGTAGCAATAAATGCTTCACTGCAGATATGACAGGCAAAGCATGACTGAAAAGCAGATTCACTTTTGGATGGAGAGAGGAACCTAGTAAGAGCTCAATATTTCAGCATTATAGAAAGAGAAGCCAGACATCTTCCACCCACAACTGTGGCAGGACTATAAAGGATGAAGTACAGTATCACCCATAATTCCTCTGAGGTGTTCCCTGCCTCTGTAAACTTCTGGATCTCACCGTAATTCATTGAGAAAGATCAGGACAAAGCAGACAGCATGAATTAGTCCTGTCACTGCTGTAAACAGAAGTATCCCTGATGGCGATGCCTCCAGTGCTATTCACGCAGTCAAAATAGCCGCCAGGCTAAATATTACCCTCAAGATAATTTTATGCAGATTGGTTTCCCCCTGCAACAAATGTCAAGCCTTTTCTCGTCAAAATCAAAATTATTAAGGAATGCCAAATATGTGAAGTCCCCGCCCCCATTTTTTTCAATACAGTGGTACCTCGGGTTAAGTACTTAATTCGTTCCAGAGGTCCGTACTTAACCTGAAACTGTTCTTAACCTGAAGCACCATTTTAGCTAATGGGGCCTCCTGCTGCTGCTGCTGCGCCGCCGCTGCACGATTTCGGTTCTCATTCTGAAGCAAAGTTCTTAACCCGAGGTACTATTTCTGGGTTAGCGGAGTCTGTAACCTGAAGCGTATGTAACCTGAAGTGTATGTAACCCGAGGTACCACTGTAGACATTTATAGCTGGAGTGGAAATTCTAGCCTGTACTATTAGTAATTTTGAACATGAAACTTGTGCCTAATAGTGATAATTCTGGATCAAGTGCTCCAAAGTTCAAAAAATAAAAATAAAAAAAGGCAGTCTTGATTTTGCCATGCCGTCTGGGAACCATATCTATGCCACCTTGCGTTTTGTGACAGAAGAAAAGCATGGGTATAAGTGTAAGAACATACACAATAAATACTTGTGTTTTGACACTGCACATCAGGAAGCAGCTGCAGGTGGGTATCTTAATATTAGTGCAAGGAATGTGAGACTCACCTTGCAAAGTTTCTGGCACATACAGTCCAGTTCACGCATCTCGTATACCAACACCCAGTATTGGACTTCAAACATTGTTGCACCTAAATCAAAAAGACAAAACAATGTCTACTGGTTTTGATTAATTTTTTTTTAATGATGGACAGAAATGGAGGAAGAAAAAAAATATTCCCCCTTTGAACCTCCTGCTTTGTGGTACTTCATGGCAAAGCCACTTCATTAATGCATGGTCTTTCTAATCTTAGAAATGCTTTTGCACATCCCTTTCAAATTACTAGTCGGGAGGAAAAGCCTTGGGGGCTGCTGCAGACATTATAGTTTGCATGCAGAAATCAGTCTTATTACTTGGAAGTGTGTTGCAAGTGTGTGTTTTTTCCTCTTGAGCTTGTTGACCAGACATTGGCTAGTAAGGACAAAAAGAATAGTCATACAATTTTCTCTCCATTCTATTCGGAGTCCCTTCTTTCCCCTACATCATCACCTCCTTCTTCCAAAGAGCTCAAGGTGGTTTATCCTTGTGTTTATCCTCACAACAACCCTATGAGGGAAGCATAGAATTGCAGAGTTGGAATATGTGTGAATGCTGCTGAGAAGGACAGAAAGTGGTTTTTTAATCAACAGTTTAGTTTTTTATTGCATGCACTCACCACTTTAATAGAAACAGCCCTTTAAACTTCACCCATGGAAAACGTAAAAGGCAGGCTGCCCCAAAGCATTTAGTACTCCTTAGAGGTTCTGAGATATTTTCTTTGCAGACCTCAAAGAAAAGTTATTCTACACCCTCCTAGCCATGACTGCTGTGCTTTTCTGATAAGGGATTTTACTTCCCCACCCCAACGTTTTGGCATGCATGCCTATGCTTGTGTTTATCAATAGGATTCATGTATTCACAAATCCACACACTTTTCTTTTCACTGTTCAGTAAAATGAACAGTGTGTCAATAGAAAGCTTCGGATTAATAGGATTTATTGAGTTTATCAATAGGATTCAAAGGTAAAGGGAATTTTTTAAGGGTATTTTTTAAAAAATAATAATACAGGAATATCTAATATGCCCAAAGGAAGCTAATGTTTAAAAATGCATGGCTTCTTGTTTTAAGCTTTATATCTTCCTGTTTGCTCTTTTGGCTTCTTCTTGCCTCCTAGACTTCTGCTTTGCTCTTAACTTTCTTTTCAAATCCTTCCGATATCTCCCTCACACTTTCTCTCCCATGTGATCATTTGCACTCTGGAAAACATAGGGCAAACCCTGGATGAGGAGCTGTTTTGTAAACAGAAGCATGTGTTTGCAATCACAGGCATCATGCAGAAGAAGGGCAGCTCAGTGGCAGGACATCAGCTTTGCGTCCAGATTCAGCTCCCCAACATGTCTAGGTAGAACTGGGAATGACTTCTGTCTCAAACCAGGGTGCCACTCAACATGGGCAGTACTGAGCAAGATGGACCAGAGCAAGACAGCAGCCTCCTGGGTACTTGCCAGAAATAAAGCAGTTTGCTGAGTGCTCCTGCAGAAGCAAACCCATGTATATAATGTGTGAAGTGACCCAAAGCCCTTGTCTGGGTAAAGGTAAAGGACCCCTGACAGTTAAGTCCAGTAGCGAACGACTCTGGGGTTGCGGCGCTCATCTCGCTTTATTGGCCGAGGGAGCCGGTGTACAGCTTCCGGGTCATGCGGCTAGCATGACTAAGCCACTTCTGGCGTAACAAGAGCAGCGCACGGAAACGCCGTTTACCTTCCCGCCGGAGCGATACCTATTTATCTACTTGCACTTTGATGTACTTTTGAACTGCTAGGTTGGCAGGAGCTGGGACAGAGCAACGGGAGCTCACCCCGTCGTGGGGATTCGAACCGCCAACCTTCCGATCGGCAAGCCCTAGGCTCAGTGGTTTAGACCACAGCACCACCCATGTCCCTAAGTTATATTATGTAGCTTGGCTTTTTAACTCCTCTATTTTCACGTGTTCGCTTTCCCTTCTGTTTTATAATGAACATGTGGAGCTGCTTTCTAGTGAGGTCATTGGTTTGTTTAGCCTAGCATTCCTTATTCTGACTGGATCTTGGAATGCCATATGGGTGAATCATCCCTGTGAGTCCTCATCCCTCTATCAGTCCTCTGCAAAGGTTTATGCCACACAACACCTGTGTGTGTGTGTGTGTGTGTGTGTGTGTGTGTGTGTGTGTTCTTATAAGAAAAAAAATGCAGGCAATGTTGTTACTATGGCACAGCAGTTTTTCCACATTCCTGATTCCTGACTGTTTTATTGCAACATACTATAGGATCAAGTCTTCCAGGACTTGGAAGTAGTTAAGTGTGATTTATCCAACTGCTGTTTTGCCAGGCTAATCTCTATATTGTTCCAATTTTAGTATATGTGCTGCCGAACTGAGCACTATCGAACTGCTGTTTAATTCGCACATCAGGTGGAATTGCATAAAAGGATCTTGCAGCAGCAGGGAACCACCTGTTATTAACCAAGCTTGGTAAATGATGCCAGTTAAAAATGTTGGATTGTTTCCAAATTGCTTATTTTCCCTATCCCTGAAAGGTGTTTTTTCTTTTTTTACAATAGTGAACTATTAATGGCCGCAGTTCATCCTATGCGATGGCTTGTAGAATGCCAATTTGTATTCCCTACTTTCCAAAATCATCCTTTTTTCATAAATGTGCATAAGGAAATAACTCCAGACTCCAAGCACGCAACACTGTGAATTCATTAGATCACTTGGTGCCTAAAGGCCTTTCATAAAGTGTGTATGATTCAAACTGGCTTATTTGTTGGAAAATGAACGCTTTTGCAGAATGCAGCACGCCTGGAATGGGGGGGGGGCATTGCACATCTTCTGCAATTTCCGCAGCTGATGTATATCTTTCAAACAGGCACCCTGAGCTTCACTGCTAAATCACTGTTTAGAGAACATTTAAATCATGTGATTTAAAGATTTTAAAAAAGAATATTTTTAGACATTTGTTTAATCGACAAATGATAAACACTGAGAATTAAAGTTCACTAGTGGTACACAAAGCTGCATCTATGTTTTGTTTTGTGATTCTCATAAGTAATCTTAATAAGAACCTGCAGGATCAGGCCAATAATCTACCTACTCCAGCATCCTGTTCTCACAGTGGCCAACCAGACGCCTGTGGGAAAACTTGCAAGCAGGATGTGAGCAAGTCGTATTCAGAAGTGTTACTGCCTCTGACTATGAATTTGTCTAATCCTCTTTTAAAGCCATCTGCATTGCTGGCCATCGCTGCTTTCCATGGGAACGAGTTCCATAGTTCATCTGCTGCATGAGAAAGAAATGTCTTTTATCTGCCCTGAATCTTCCAATCTTCATTGGATGCACACAATTTCTAGCCCCATGCAAGATGGAGAAAAACTATTCTCTGGACACTTTCAGCCCTAAAAGGAACTGGGCCACACATTAGAACATTGTGGTCCAAGAAAGATACTTGGAAAAGGAAACTAACATTAGAAACCACTATTTTTTCATGGTTGCCATACTTTTTTCCCGGCACTGCACCTGTGCATAAATATAACAAGGCTTATATATTTAATGTTATGGCTGAAGCCCAAATTGTGGTTAATCTCAGTCTACACTGTTTAGAAGCTGGCTTGTTTCAATACATTATAGTTAAGACTAACCACTGTTTGTTGGGTTCAGATAATGATGATGATGATGAATTTCATTTCTATACCACTTTCTATTTCCAAGAAAAAATCTCAAACATGTCCACAGTCCCTGTGGCAATGTTGATGGAAGGGCAGGGAGGAAGAGTATGTGAGCTCAGGTAGAGGCTAGAATTGTTCTTGTCACAATAAACCATGGTTTGGTTGCGTATTGTGGTACTTTAACGCAGGGGTCAGCAAGCTAAGGCCCATGGGCTGGAAGAGGCCGGTGGAGGTCATTTGACCGGCCCCCGAGCTGCCCCCGAACTGAGTTGCCCGTTCTCGTGCTGCGCTAAACCGGCGCATGGGGACTCACTTCCGTGGCGCCAAAAATTGCGTCTGCGCAGACACAGATCCTAAAAATCGCAGGCGCACGCGCAATTCAGCCCACAGAGGGAACTCCGTGGGACTGATCCGGCCCAGGCAAGATACACCTTGCTGACCCCTGCCTTAACGCAACCAATGAACCATTCCAGTTCAGAAGAATAATTAATACAAAGAGTAACAGAAATGCTTGCACATTACAGTGGGTTTTGCCACTGCACAGCATTTAAGAAATAAGATGTACGAGGAAAGGGGAGAAGAATAAAAAGTCGTCACGTTATAATTTGTGATACTGTACTTTGTTCTTATCACGCTAGATGGGTTCTCTTCCACCCTGCTCCATAGTTAGCCAGGTTCTCTTTTGATGACAAAAATGTACATTTCCTTCATTTATAATAATGTTCCAAGTTGCTCTGAAAAGCTGTGAGTCACTTCAATCAATATTTTCAAATATCCCTGTGGTGACTAGTGATTGCCAACTGTAGTGGCATTGTTCACTGGGGAATGTTCAAGGCAGCAATCAAGGATGTTTCTTTGTACAGAAGAGTGCGGTTTTCAAAGTTCCCATTGACATTGCTTGGGAGTCACCAGGCTGCCAACATTTAAAGCCCAGTTTGGGGAACCTTAGGTGCTGACAACGTAGTAAACGCAGCAGTTAAGAGACAGAATGGTGAACCAGAAAGTCAGTGGTTTGAATTTTGTTTCTGTCATTGTGTCTTTAGCCACAATGCCTTGACCTCAACCCCCTGGGAGATACCCTGTGGCCACTACTGGCACCTGGTTGTGGAGGCCAGAGCTCAAACAATGGCATTAATGAGCCTCAGTGGAAACTGTTAAACCAGAGATGGTCCTCTGCTGAGTCAATGCTTGCAGCTGGATCTTCCTTGTATTCCCAAGTAAGGTTGTTCCTCCCAAATAGATATTTCCTTCCAAGTAGACCTCTGGTGACAGAGCCTTCTGGAAGCCAACTAGGCTATGCACTGGGTCTACCTTTGCTCCTGAGGCCTAGAGGGTGATGCAGACTTGGGTGATGAATTGAGGATTTGGGATAAGGTTGGAGGAGTTATTGAGGGGCCTAGGCGAGGCATCCCTGTAATGGGATTATTCAGGCTACCTTGGACAGCAGCTGGTTCTTCCATATCTTTGTTTGGAGCTGTGCCCCGTGCCTAGAGTGATTTCCCTAGGATCTGGGCTGGAGAAGTTAATGACTCCCTGTGTCAAGGAGTGTGTTGCTTTACTAACTTTTTCAACCTGCAACATTAGACAGTTACCCATTAAAATGAAAAACCACAGCCTTCATAGCTGGTTATCACTACCTTCTTAGCACGTCAAGGATTCCTCAGTTTCGGCTATAGAACTAAAATACATGTTTTGACACCAGTGGTTGTTTTCAGGCCAAATGGCATTGGGTTGTGCCCAGTGCTAGCCTTACTCAGAGTAGTCCCATTGGAATAAATGAACATCTTGATGTAAACTGCTCTTTCGGTAGATTTCATATATTTTGGCATGCATCGTGATTTGCATGTAAATTGTTATTTCTTTGCTACACGTACCTTCTGAGGAGTAATGATACATTCTAATGACACTTGGAAGCAAAGGGTCTGTTGGTTAGGGAGATTGAGTTTTGTTTCAGTCCGTCAGTTTATTTGTTACAGTGGTTCTCTGCACGTTTGTTTGCTGAGTGAGGGTAATAGTGTAATGCAATTGTATCGGCATACTTTATTCAGCCTATAACTTCCAGTGCTAATGTATTTACTTATTCTTGAAAAACCTAATAAAAATGATTAGCTGTGCTTAGTGTTATGAATATATTTCAGTCGTGTCCTTTGTTCAATTTAACAGGTAAATGGGATTCACCCGGAATGCAGATTGCAGCTGGAGCTTCATAAAGAGGAAATAAAGTGCATGGAACTTTTAAAAAATGCCAAAACCGTGGGTTTTAAAGGTAAGAAGACAACTTAGAGAGTGAAAAGAAAAGAGTGATTCAATCGTGTAGTCTTGCAAATAAGTCCACAAAAGCTACTGGCCTGCAAATGAAAGGAGCCTGTTAAGATTCTTGTAGCCTCCATTTCCATGTTGGCTGAAAATGAACGGAAGGTCCCTTCTCATGGCCAGCATTGACATGGGACAGGGTTATCCACCACCCCCTCTGCCAGCCTGCTGTATTTCCATGATTACTTACTGTAATTAGTAAATTACTTTTATTTTATTCCATTACACGTAAAATAAATGTACAAAAACAAATGTAAAAATACAAAAATATCAGAAGTGACACATCCATTCTCTTAAATTTGTCAACAAAACCAGAAGATGTGAGGGGACATCTGTTGGTAGAAACATTTAGATGTCCCTATTTCCTGCATACGGTGCCACAGTGTCCTGGAAGTTAGTTGTGCCGATATAAATGATAGAATCTGACTACACAGTATAAAAAATGTTATGGGTCTTCTAAGCCTTTGGAAACCTTTATATTTTCTGCCCTTGCCAGGTTCCATTCACTTTCATACCACAGAGATATCTGAAGGTCTTCCACTTTTGTGCTGTGGATATCCTAGCTGCTACCAGAAGCCACAACACTAATTCTTTAGCTTGCAGTTTTTGAATATGACCATCTCATATATTTAGAAGTGAGCGCTGTGGGATCATTTGTCTGGTAGTCTTTGAGACAGTATATACCCATTAGACCAGAGCTCTTTCAGCGGTGGACACTCCCACCATAAATGAAAAGACATTCCTAATGCCCCAATGATGACATTCTGCCCCTCCAAGGGCAGGAGCAATGGGGAGCAGCAAATAGCACAATAGTAGGTCCCTTATGGGAATATCGGAAGCTGCCTTGTACCAAATCAGACCATTGGGCCATCTAGCTAGAGTTGTCCCTACCAGTAGGGCGCTTTAGGCAGGCGCTTTAGGTGGCAGATAGCTGAGGGGCAGGCAGCAGTAAGGTGTTGGAGAACAACTGTGTGCTGAGCAATTTGTTCTGTGCATCTGAGGTAGCCTTGGTGGAAGATGTTGTCCCATCATCAGTGCTGAAATCAGATTAAAAGTTGGTTTTGGTCCATGGAAGAAGGTGGGTGATGCCGTCTTCATCAAACTGAGCTCGCCCTGCATATAGTTCAGTACTGTCTACACTATAGTTTTTCAACCTTGAGTCTACCAGATGCTGTTGTACTACAACCCCATCATCCCTGACCTGTCTGAGGATCATGGGAGCTGTAGTCCAGTAACTGTGGCTGAAGAGCTTAGTTGTAGGGCTATGTTTAGACTCTGCAGGATTTCCTTGCACTACGTGAAGATGTTTGGATTTTTTAAAACAATAAAATGTCTTATGGGGCAATGGTTACATTTTTAAGATGAGGAGAAAGTGCTTGGAAGGAGGTAGCTGATTCCATTCCTTTCCTGTCTCTGCTTTTAAAACAATTTTTCACTATGGCTTTAAGTGCAGTGGAACAGAAGATTATCAAAAAGCAAATACAGAAGTGAAACATTTCCCACAAGCCAGTGCCTCAACCAAGGCCATCTGCTCACAGTATAAATAAATGATCTTTCATTCTTCTCAGTAGGGAGACAATAAATACAGCAAAGGGTTTGAAACAGAAAAGTAAACACATATCTGCCTGTAAAAGAAAATGGATCAGTAGCAATGAATTGAATTAGACTGGGTGCTGTGAGTCAGAATTTTAAAAGAGTCTGTTATATGATTTTTTTTTAATTGGCAAGGATATCTTTATTTGACAAGGATTATAAGGTTGCCAGCCAATTGGAAGGGTGGGTTGAGAGCCAATACAAGCCTGCAGGTTCCTTGCAATCAAAGAGAAAATGAGAAAGCCTAATTGCTGTGCTGGTTTATTTTATTTATTTTCAGTTTAATTGTTGTATTTATATTCAGTAGCCCTGTAAGATAGGTTAGGCCAAGAAGTATAGCAACTGGCACAAGGTAACTCAGTAAGCTTCTTGACTGAGTAAGGATTTGAATTTGGGTCTCCCTAGTCCTAGGTCTAGTGATGTATGGAAGTGAGAGCTGGACCATAAAGAAGGCTGATTCCTGAAGAATTGATGCGTTTGAATTATGGTGCTGGAGGAGACTCTTGAGAGTCCCATGGATTGCAAGAAGATCAAACCTCTCCATTCTGAAGGAAATCAGCCCTGAGTGCTCACTGGAAGGACAGATCATGAAGCTGAGGCTCCAATACTTTGGCCACCTCATGAGAAGAGAAGACTCCCTGGAAAAGACCCTGATGTTGGGAAAGATGGAGGGCACAAGGAGAAGGGTACGACAGAGGACGAGATGGTTGGACAGTGTTCTCGAAGCTACCAGCATGAGTTTGGCCAAACTGCGGGAGGCAGTGGAAGACAGGAGTGCCTGGCGTGCTCTGGTCCATGGGGTCACGAAGAGTCAGACACGACTAAACAACTAAACGACTAAACAACAACAGTCCTAGGTCATATTCATACCATATGTTTAAATGCTATGATACTACTTTTAACGGTCATGGCTCCCCCCCCCCCAATCCTGGGAGCTGAAATTGACAATTCCCAGAGTTCCCTGGGAACGGGGATTGACTGTCCGAACCAGCACTTGCCATGCAAACCAGGATCTCAAGCCAGGATTTGATCCTAGGTTTGTTTGGGCTAGCAGAGTATGGATGAAATGATAAACCATGGTTTGTTTCAAAGCAGGATCAGTGTGCAGTGGGATAAGTATGCGAACTGAAACTCCTCACTGCTTATTCACGTAATGCCAAACCATGGCTTGGTGTTCTGTTTAAATGGAACGTCTAAACGTCTAACTCATTCAATCATGGCATTTGCTGGCTTGAAAGCGTATCTGACTGCAGGAAAGCTAAATAATTGCTTCAGTGAGCAAAGGACATGGAAGTGCTAGGAAACTAGGGGGGGTTGTGACCTCCTGCCCATAACGTGTCCTATTTATAGAGCACACAATAACTGCTTTAGTTGAGGCCGTGGGGAACTTTGTTTTAAACGGAGATGCAATCGTGTTGCTTTTATGGTTTGCTACGGGTCCAAAAACTGTGTGGATTGCCTCGTATAGATTTCAGGATTAGAGCATGCTTAGCAGTCACAAAGCCCACAGCAAGCAAACAACTCCAGAGATGAAGTTGAAGGATTTATCTAAGCACTAACTTCTCTACCTTCCACCCACAAGAGAACTGTTAAAGGCAAAACACTGCTGGAACTCCCTGGAACTTCTAAGTACTTTAGAAGATACCTGATGGATCTGATCAAAGACCCATCTAGTCCATCTTTGGCCAATCACATGCCTATGGGAAGCTCACAAGCAGAGCATGAATTCAATAGCTCTCTCCTGCTTATCACCTCCCTCAACTGATATTCAGAGGCCTACCCCTTCTCAGACTTGAGGTAATATCCAGGCATCGTTCCAAGTAGCCATCAATACCTTCTCCTCCATGAAATCTGTCTTAATCCCTGTTCAGAGCTGTATGAATTGGCGGCCATCACTACACCTTGTGGGAACAGATTCCACACTTTAACTATATGCTGCGCAAAAAAAGATAGCCTTGTCGTTTGCCCCTGGCTCTTCCGAAGAAAAGTGGAACACAAATTCTCCTCTCTGCCAACCCTCACCGACAGCTTTAATTGCTGTGTAGCATAACCCTATCCCTGTTGACTCAGAAGTAAGTCCCCAGAAGTAGGTTATACTCTCAGGTTAAGTGTGTATGGGATGGGAGTTTAAGAGGGTAATCCTATAGAGGGGGTGGGGAGGGGAATCCATAACAGAGTTCCTGTTACTTACTACCCCTGTGGCCAGAGCAGAAAAATATGTTTTCCCCTTTTGTTTCTTTAATTTGACTTAAAAAAATAAATAATTAACAGCAATTAGCCCTTGCTTTGGGCATCTTAAAGAAATTAGGGTGTTTTGGACCCAGGGCCACTCTGCAAGTGCCCTGATTTAGACACTACAACCAGTAAAGCGGGACGCAGGTGGCGCTGTGGGTTAAACCACAGAGCCTAGGACTTGCCAATCTGAAGGTCGGCGGTTCGAATCCCCGCGACGGGGTGAGCTCCCGTTGCTCGGTCCCTGCTCCTGCCAACCTAGGAGTTCGAAAGCACGTCAAAGTGCAAGTAGATAAATAGGTACCGCTCTGGCAGGAAGGTAAACAGCGTTTCCGTGTGCTGCTCTGGTTCGCCAGAAGTGGCTTAGTCATGCTGGCCACATGACCTGGAAGCTGTATGCTGGCTCCCTCGGCCAGTAAAGTGAGATGAGTGCCGCAACCCCAGAGTCTGTCATGACTGGTTACCTTTACCTTTACCAGCAAAACACCCACAGCAGGTAGAGTTTTCCATTCCGGTGAAATTTTCTGCCAGCATTCTGGTGTTCTCCAGAGTACAGGTGCGTTCCTGCAATTGCATCACCTCTTTCCTAGTGCAGCAGCAGTTATAGCAGGGATGGGAAACCTATTAGACTACATCTGTCGTTGTCCCTAAGCACCGGCCATGTTGACTGGGGCTGATGGGAGTTGGAGTCCAACAACAGCTGGTTCCCCATCCTTGATTCCTAAAGTCCGTCAGCCAGGCTTCCAGCTAACGACTTCCCTGCTGGTTGTTTTAAAAGCCATTTGGAGAGTTTGGTATGAACAGTGCTTTTTTCTGGGGAGATGCAGAGGGACGCATACCCCTAAACATTTTGTGAATCTTTGTAGTTTTCTCCATTTACTGTATTTATTTTTCTTGAATCAAAATGAGAGTACCCCTAAACATTTATTTATAGAAAAAAAAGTACTGGGTATGAATGTTGCTTAAAGGGAAGCTGCCCATTAATATACATGTTATATCTTGATGGAGCCAATATAACCCCCACATTAGGCAGAGCTTTCAGGCAAGTTTGTGCCTCCCCAGAGCTACCCCTATTTTTTTTCTCTAAAGTGATTCAAGAAGCAGCACAACTCAGCTGTCTAAATATAGTAATTTCCAGAAGGCTGCTTGGGACACTCTGGCTTGGGTTGCCAGCGGGGTCTTCGCTATAGACCATTTAGGAGCATAGCTGTCAACTTTTCCCTTTTCTTGCATGGAATCCTATTCGGAATAAGGGAAATTCCCTTTAAAAAAGGGAAATGTTGACAGCTATGTTTAGGAGATGTTCTGAGCTGGTTTTGCTACTGATAAACGGTCTGGAAGTGACATGTGACTCACATTGGTAAATTTGTTAACATGTCAACAGAAACTCTCAACAAAACCCTCTGCCTGTTCAATCATCAGTAAAGGCTAATTCTCAGATTGTTGTGCATAGAATGGCAGTCCCAGTATATAAGAAAACCTAAAGTGTGGGGTTTTTTAAATATAGACATTATAAGGATGTCAAAAAGTAAGTTTCTATATTTAGTGTTGTCAACATTCGAGCTGAGTACAATATTTTTGTCCTGTATGTGTTTCTAATAGCAAAAACATATTTTTCCATGGTAATAAATCACTTTGGGATATTTCTTTTTCTCTTTCCAGTTTCTTCCATAATAATAACAAGGCTAATTGCCAAAAGACACACAAACCAAGCCTGAAACGATTGTCCACATTCTTTTGATAGCCCTAAGCTGCATATTAATGATTCCTGTTGCCCTCGTGATGTTTTATAGTTGCATCTTTTTATTACCAGGTTCACTGGAACTAATTTTGGGTTACGTTTTTCTTTTCACATGCAGCAGTAATATGAAGTATCTATAAAACTCTTAGAATTATAAGCTGGAAAATGTGGAGAGAGTTTACCGTGTGTGCGCCTGTGTGCAAAAAATCTTAGTCAATGCTTACTTTAAAAATTCATTTCCTTGGTTCTTACCAGCAGGTTTGCAGCAGATTGATGAGAGGTAACAGCCATTTTAAAATACAGTAGTACCAAGGTTTACAACTATAATCCATTCCGGAGGTCCGTTTGTAAACCAAAACAGGTTGTAACTCAAAACGCGCTTTCGCCAATGCGGCCTCCAGAAATTTTTTGTTCATAATCCAAAAAAAATGGGTTGTAATCCCAAAAAAGGTTGCAAACCGGGACACTGCACTTCCGGGTTTGACATGTTTGTAATCCAAAACGTATGCAAACCAAGAGGTATGCAAACCATGGTGCCACTATACAGGAGCAACTTGGGTTACGTTACCCTCGGGTAATGTAAACTTCAGGTTGCAAAAGCAGCAAACTCAGAAGTGTTTCACTTCGTGAGCATGCACAGATGCGGTCTACCACCCCGCGCACATGTGTATAACAGTGATCCTTAGGTTGCGAAAACCTTGGGATCTGGCCAGACCTCTGGAATAGATCCCATTCGCAACCAGAGGCAGCACTGTGTAAAAGTTGAGATGCATTGAAAAGTCCATTCAAGTATAGGCAACTCCCCATTTAATGGGGAGGGGTACATTCTCAGGCACCGCACATTTAAGTAGAATCGTGTATATTGGGGACACAATTGAGAAAGCCTGCAAACACCCTCTACACCTCTGGAAACCCTTAAAAAAACCAAAAATCCACCACAATCACTCCCTCCAAACCTCCTTGCTCAAACTCAAACTCTCCACAGGCCTCAAAGACTCCTGGGGTTGCACTTGCAAAGGCTTGTGGGATCTCTAGGCACCATTTTTGTACCATTTTTATGCTCTTTTAGGGCTGTTTTTGCCTCTTTTCATTCCACTTCTGGGTTCGTGGCAATGCATGCATGCACATTTGCCTAGATAGTACAGGTTGTGGAGGTCACAATGCAAAGAGCGATGGTGGTAGAGGAGAAAGGATGCCAACGCCTAACTCTTGTGATTACGGACTCACACCTTGGAGCCTTCCATTAGCCTATGATGACAAGCTCACTCTCTAGCTCCAGCAGGGGAACGTTCATCAGTAGTCTGTGTGTACACAAAGAAAAGCTACCTTCCTATCAACATCTTTCAGATATTTTCCACAAGTGAGGGAAAGATGGACCTTTGCCCTTCATCTCTGGAACAGACCCAAAAACATCGCACTGGAGCAAAAGAAGTAATTTATTCGGCTGTCCTTTGCCACTGGTATGAATTCCACATCCAGTCGAGCCAGAAAGTTACTCATTTTTCAGTACGTGCATAATTACCAGCGCTGCCAGACTTTTTTAAAATATAAATTTAAAAAATAATAATTGATTGTCTTTTCGGGATTCTTGTGTGTCAGGTTTCTAATGTTGCCTTTGGCCTAAAATCAACTGGGGGCGGGAAGAAAGCCTGGTCTGGAGTCCTGTACGTGGACTGAATCCTCTTTGAGGGGCCAGAATAGGTGCCGTAAATCAAACAAACAGGGGTTCTGCCCACATAGCTTTGCTAGCGACACCTAAAATGTGAAGTTACCCCAGATGGTAATGGACTGATTGTCCCTGGTTAGGATCAGAAATGGACAAAAAAAACCCCTTGAACTATATCCCCCACAAACTTGGAAAATAGCTCAGTTTCTTCCACTCCAATTGGATCTAGTTAGCAGGTTGGGGAAGCTTATTTGACCTCCGATCGTCTTTGTCACTGTGGCTTAGCAAGAGAGAGAGGAGTGCGGCATCAGTGAGGCGGTGGAGTCAACAAGGTGCAAACGCTCCAATAGGAGCGCTGGATTGGCTGCACTGCTGCTGACCTCACCACCGCCTCACACAGAGATAGGGGACCCTTGTCGGTGGCGCAGGGAGCACCATGGAGCACAGAACCTAACCGTGTCACGCTGCCTGTTGAAACGGTTATGAACCGAAATTACGACAGGAGTCCTGTGGATTATGGCTGCTGTTTGTGTACTCCAAGCCTGTACATGGTTGAAGACCAGAACACATGAAATTACAAACACACCACACCACCCTCCTCCACAAAGACCTATGGTAGAGCTCACAATATACCTGCGCATCCCCATTCCACTGTTAAGGTGGCAAGCAAGCTTGCTTGCCCCTACGATTGAGGGGGCCGGCACCGCACAATGTGCTCACATCACATGTTCACGCCACATGATGTGTCGGCGTGAGATGGGCACGCCACATGGGTTGCACACATGACGTGCGCAAGCACAAATGACGTGCGCATGTCACCGTGAGATATTGAGGGGCAAAAGGGGCAATTACTTTGTACAATCCTGGAAGTCTGTTTCAAGCATTTTCTTTCAGGCTGGACATCAGTGGGTGGGCCGGAGTCATGTCAAATAGGTTTATTGACAGTTTGGCTTCGCTCGTATTGGATGCAGGTTACAAAGATAACAAGATCAGTATGGGATAGTTCTGTGGGGGTGAGATACGCAGCACGAGCCTATGCATGTTTATGCATGTTGGAAGTAACCCCATAGGAACATTTCTATACGCCCTTTCCCTAATAAAATTAATAATAATAATAATAATAATAATAATAATAATAATAATAATAACAATAATAATTTATTTGTACCCCGCCCATCTGGCTGGGTTTCCCCAGCCACTCTGGGCGGCTTCCAACAAAGATTAAAAATACATTAAAATATCACACATTAAAAACTTCCCTGAAAAGGGCTGCCTTCAGATGTCTTCTAAATGTCAGGTAGTTGTTTATCTCTTTGACATCTGATGGGAGGGCGTTCCACAGGGCGGGCACCACTACCAAGAAGGCCCTCTGCCTGGTTCCCTGTGGCTTTGCTTCTCACAGTGAGGGAACCAACAGAAGGCCCTTGGCGCTGGACCTCAGCGTCTGGGCAGAACGGTGGGGGTGGAGACGCTCCTTCAGGTATAAGCCTCCAATAAGTTTTGCATAGTCAAAAGTGGCTTACAGACATGTTTAAATAAAGTTGTTTACAGTCTGAGCAGGAGCATACAGATTGGGGGGAAGGACCATAGTTGGCTGGTAGAGCATCTACTTTTCGTTATGAGAACCAGATAATGTTCACTGCAATGCCAACATTAAAAAGTGATCTTAAAACCGGAAGTCAAATGAAAAGTGCAGCCATAAAGAGGGAAGATCTTGCTGGCAAGTGATCTAGAGAAGTAGAGATTTACCCTTACCTTGGGAAGATATTTTTTGACCCATCACCAGCTCCTGTCACAGGGCAAGAAACTTGGAGATGTTTCCAAACAGGTTATGCAAGATTACATATGCTCAAAGGATGTCATTGCATCAGTGTGAGGGACCCCTTTAAAAAACAAACATATAGATAATAGATTACCACTTCGGAAAATTTGATTGAAAAGCAGCTATGGGCAACACTCTCTCTCTCTCTCTCTCTCTCACTCTCTCTCTCTCTCGTCTCTCTCTCTCTCTCTCTCTCACTCACACACACACACACACACACACACACACAATATAGCATTTTAAAGTATTCAATAAATCCTGTGATTGGGGAGCAGTTTCACAAAAGAACCTAATTAAGGTGATTGCAGATCATTAACTTGTATTTAACTCAGGTAGTTATAATTAATAGATTGAAACCCAAAAATAATTAACATAAAGTCAGACTGGTTTCCAATCCATAACTGTTATTTCATTATAATTGCTGTTCTTTAAGATGCAATCCGCACCATCAAATAAAGACTTGCGATACTTGATTCTTCTATTGTAGGCCTTACATTTTTTAAATATATAATTAAATGTATAATGTATATGAAATAGTATAATTTCACATGTCCCAAAGTCCTTATGCATTTAAATAAACACAATAGCAAATCTAGTTTTATGGGTTTGTGTTTTTAAAAAAATCTTTATTAGTGATACCCACCGTCCTCTAGTACTTGGGCATTGTCCTGCATGGCCCCTAGAAATGTGGGGTTGCTGTTTTTTAATATGACAACATTGTCAAGAAAATGGTTCCTCTGCATAGATCTCTGGGTAAAATGCTAGCCTTTTGGAAGAAAACTATCCCAGTAATTGACATGATCTCGTTGAATTGAGGCCTCTGTGCTATCTAGACTGAGGAACTTGCTTCAGCTGTGTGGGAAAAGCCACCCACACCCAAACACTAGAATGTTCTAGGCTTTAAGTCTCCTGATTGGTTCACCCCTCTTGCGTTTTGCTGTTTGCTTTTATTTCCCTTTGTCTTTCTTACCTGTTGCTTTGTGACACCTAGGAAACCATATCTTCTGTGCTCTGGACTATAGCTTTTGGGTCAATGCTTTATGGTATATGCACAGGCAGTGGCGTAGCGTGGGGGGTGCAGGGGGGGCCGGCCGCACCGGGCACAACATCTGGGGGGGGCGCACTCGCACTCGCAGTGCTAAAATTCACGGGTTAGGGGGCACAAATTACTTGCCTTGCCCCGGGTGCTGACAACCCACGCTACGCCACTGTGCACAGGGTTAGGAAACGTTAGCTTTTCTGTTTCAGTTTGATTTATAATTTAGGAGGCCACACCTTCACCTTCCTGCTCCCACTCACCTTGCAGATCCAGTAACACTTCTCCATTTTGTCAAGTTGTTCCTCCTTTGATCCCATCCGTCGTTTCTCCAGGCCATCCAGCAACAGAGAAAACAGATTTATCTTGCCTGGCTGAGACCATTCAAGAGCCTCTTAGTAATTTAGTATCTTGTCGGATAGTACAGTGTCTACAGACTCCACTTTATGTTTTTAGGAAATGAACATCCACGTAGCCAAGAACATTTTTTCAGCAGTTCTGTGAAGTGTAGGGTTGGATTCTTGGAAACGCAGTGCACACACAAAAATCAGAGACAACACACTTCAGCAAGGTAAAATGTCTTTGGACCATGCACAAGGAAGAGCAAAGTGCAGATAGATCATCCTTAAACAAATGTCACCCTCATTTCATCCACCGGGGACGTTCAGATTAGAGCATGGGTAGGCAAACTAAGGCCCGGGGGCCGGATCCAGCCCAATTGCCTTCTAAATCTGGCCTGCGGACGGTCTAGGAATCAGCATGTTTTTACATGATTAGAACGTGTCCTTTTATTTAAAATGCATCTCTGGGTGATTTGTGGGGCCTGCCTGGTGTTTTTACATGAGTAGAATGTGTGCTTTTATTTAAAGTGCATCTCTGGGTTATTTGTGGGGCATAGGAATTTGTTCATTTTCTCTCTCAAAATATAGTCCACCCCCCCCCACAAGGTCTGAGGGACAGTGGACCCGGCCCTCTGCTGAAAAAGTTTGCTGACCCCTGGATTAGAGGAAGGTTCTTCTGCTAGAGTGGACTCTCTGTAAGCACCATACACTTTCCCCAGTTTTACCAGGCTACCAGTCCTGAATCCTTGCTTGTGAATTACGTAGGATGGCAGTGCACTTGTGGCTTTGAATGTAGGCTTGTTCCACCTGCATCAAGTGGAGGAGTGTGATCTGTAGTGACAGAGTGGTACCTGGTGTTGATAACATTCCTGCAGCCATCACATGTTGGAGGCTGGGTGTTTGCAGCTGGGAGCCCGCTCTGCTCTTCATGCAGGGAGCTTACTCGAGGGCAGCAGACTCCCCAATATAGACATTCAGCCCCCAGTGCCTAGAGAGGTACAGGAACAGGGGTCAAAATGTTTGGGAAGGCACAGGGCCAATGGGCTCACCCCCATGGTGGCAATTGTGGTGGGCTGGGACAGTTGAGTAGGGTTCCTGGGTTGTATCCTGTGCTAGCCATACTCAGAGTCCTGCCACTGAAATTAATGCTTTTGACTAACAAGTGCATTAATTTCAATGGGTCTTCTCTAAGTAGAACAGAGCTGGATACTTAAAACCCATGAATTATTTGTGGGATTGAGTGTAGGTATGTTTGAACACTTTTAAGGATTGTATGAAATGTATGTTTGTATGCTTGCATATTTGTAATATATGTGTATTAAAAATTCTTTTTAATAAATAGGGGGGAAAAACCCATCTTTTTATTCAGTACTTCACTGTCTTTCATCTACCATGAAATTGATGAGGGAGAGAGCCATATCAGTTTCATGGGTGCCATTTTTCTTCAGCTTTCCCCTCCTGTGAAAGTGATAAGGGAAAGGGGAACAGCCCTATGACTAGAATTCTCCTTTACATAATAAAGTTTGTAAATGTGGTAGATAACCGGGGATCTCTTTGACGTGCATGATTTATTCCTATGACAGAATTAACTTTTCTCATCACAATATTTTGGGGGCTCTTTCACTTGGAATTCTAAACGTTTCTGATTATGCCCAAGTCGTTAGATCCTAATGCATTTTGATGGCAAAGTAAAAATAATTCAGTCTTGTTAGTATTGCTGCCTTTTAGTAACCCAGTGCTTATTTATTGTGGCACTTGGCATTAAATAATAATTTGTCCAAAGCAAAATCAATCATTGGAATAATATGCCAGAAGCAAACTAAAGCAGTTTTTTTTAGAAGTGATGGAGAATAAGTGGTGCTTTGGTTTGCCTTATATGCTTAATATATGTAAGAGTGTTGTCACGCTACAGTTTGCTTGGCCACAGGCAGGTGGCGCTGTGATGTGAAGCAGTCTTCTTTTGTCTTCCCGACAATTGCTGGTGTGGTTCAGTGTTCTTTTAATCCCCATTGCCTCTGTTAAAATAATCAAACTAGCAGGTGAAAGTACACACAAGGTACACACATTCAAGGCTAGAGGAAAGTCTGTTCCATAGCAGTGAAGGGCCAAGAAATGATTGTGAGGAAGCCAAGTTGTGTCAGAATCTAGGAGAGGGTCAGTTGCATAGCTGTCAACCGTCCCTTATTTGGCGGGAAACTCCCTTATCCCAGTGCTGTGTCCTGTTGCTGTCCTGGATTGATGATGTTCCTTAAATTTCCCGGGTTTCAATGCTGCCTGGGAGAAAAGGGCTACCACCCCCACCTCCCAGCCACCCCCACTCGCAGGGATAAGACCCATCCCCACAAGGGTCTGCTTACATCGCGGCAGGGCCTCAGTGAGCATCAGTCTGTCTCGGGAGATAAAGGAGGAGCGCGCCTTTGGGGGAGAATGTCAGTTTGTTGGAGAGTCCAAGCGCCTGCCACCCAACACACCGAAGGGCCCGTAACTCCTGGGGCGCACCAGGAGCTGCAAAGATAATGTGCACTCGGGGGTGGGGGCGATCCGCCTTCAGGGCGCAACTATGGTGCGATCTGGGAGCTTCCTTCCCCGAACGAAAAGCTGCCAGCTAGCCCCCCCTCCCTGGACTCCAGCGAGACTTTGGGAGCTCTAAGCAGGCGGAGGTAACCGCGTCCGGCCCATCCTGTCGGGTGGCAGGGCTCACCCCCTTCTTTAAAGGGCCAGTGAGGAGAGAACTATCGCTGCTTCAGCCGCCCGAGGCATCCCTTACGACTTTAGCATGCACAGCTAGATGTGCAGGGTCTTGCTCGGCACAGGATCTAGGGCAGGCATGCACTGGCGGGTGGGGGGAGCGCCCAGCCCCCGGCAGTGAGATCCTGGCAGGGTGCAATCACGCCCCCCCCCGCGCGCTGGGCTCCCCACCCCCAGGACGTGCGCCAGCCCACCCCCTGTGCCGCAGCACGAAGCTCCGCCACTGCAGGCATGTGCAACAGGTCTCTTGGGAGTTGGACATGCCTGATCTAGGGGGAGGGGGATCCTTTTAGATTACCTGCTGCACTGTTTTTCTCTGGGGCATTGTCACCTCTCGCCGGGACCTGGCAATGATCCTGAAGCCAACCTGCCCGAGCCGATGGAATGGCAGTCGAATCCTCGAGCACCCTTTTTTTCTTTTGATGACCATTCCCCTCACCTATTTCCATTGTCGTTTCACAGTACTGTACACGTCCGACATGGGGGAAAGGAAAGGAGCTGGTTGAGTAAAATCCCTTATTTTGGCTGCTGATCCCTTATTTTCGAGGCTGCTGGTCCCTTATTTTCGAGGCTGCTGGTCCCTTATTTTCAAATCTGTAAGTTGACAGCTATGGTCAGTTGAGTAGAGCAGGGGCAGAGAAGGTGGAGAAAACAAAGCAGGTGTGACCAGGTAGCTGGACAAATAGCCAAAGGAATCTTGATCTGGAAGCAGCTGAAATTTCCAGGACCATGGTTGACCTGACCAGGAATTAGGAATGGGGCAGAAATTTGATTTTGTTTGCATTTTAATGAGAAGCAAGGCAATCCACACTTTTTGAACCAAAAACACAATTAGGCCATCCTTTGAAATTTGCAGTTCTCCGAATTCTGAAGTGCAGGTCTCCAGTTAAACAATGCATGCAAAAATGCATAGATTAGGAGGAAGTATGCATTAAAAAGTGAAGTTCTCAACAAACATATGATTACTTAGGGAGACATGAATCAGCTCTATTTCTGCATGATTCATTGGTAACATTTTCCCCTTAGAAAGTCTATTTTAATAAGGTTCCAAAAGATTTGTTACCAAGATTTATGAATATGTTGAAATTGTTCATTAAGCCTTGCTGCTTTTATAGTATAATTTTTTAAATCAGGAAACATATGAGGGCAATTGCATTAATTACATCATAATAACATTGCTCGCACGGTAATCTTTGTAAACAAACACATTCTGCGAGGGAAAGAGGTTGTTAACACAGTCTCTGCTTAATTAGGGTACACAGGAGTGGATCAAATTCTGCTTGAGTTGCTGATACAGAAAATCCTATGGGAGATAAGTCAACCAATATTTGTTTCTTATTGAGTCTGCAAATCTGTGTTGGATTGCCAGCATCCATTTTAGGTACCCAAGAGGCCAGGGGTATTATTTTTCCCTTCAAAATGTAAAATAATTGATAGGCAGTCGGAGGCAGAACTGTGTGTATTTTGTGAGGGGAAGGATGGCACCCTCCTGTTCCACATACAGAAACTAACGGTGTTGGCAGCTGACTCTTAGCTCACCCCTGGCAGGGTGGCAATATCCTCCACAGCAGGCTGGCTTAGGGAGGTGTAGGGCACGCCATGTGGTACACTCAGACACTTGAGACGTTGTCACCATTTCCCACTCCACAACATCCACCACCTCAATGGGAGGCCTGCCCTGTCCAGACATGACTTCTTCCTATTACCTGCAGAGATCCATCAGTGTTACCTCATCCTTTGCAAAGTACAGGAAGACAGTTCCTGATGGCAAAGAGCTAACGATATAAAACCTGCTACATTTTCAAAGTACTTGTTGCAGATGTTTCTTTGAATATTTCATAATAACCAAAAACACAGGTGCTTCCTGAGAAGTACAGTGGTAGCTCGGGTTAAGTACTTAATTCGTTCCAGAGGTCTGTTCTTAACCTGAAACTGTTCTTAACCTGAAGCACCACTTTAGCTAATGGGGCCTCCCGCTGCTGCTGCGCCGCCATGGCACGATTTCTGTTCTCATCCTGAAGCAAAGTGCTTAATCCTAGGTACTATTTCTGGGTTAGTGGAGTCTGTAACCTGAAGCGTATGTAACCTGAGGTACCACTGTATATAACCCGAGATACTATTTCTGGGTTAGCGGAGTCTGTAACCTGAAGCGTATGTAACCTGAAGTGTATGTAACCCGAGGTACCACTGTAATTGTGGAAGAGGGAAGAACACAGTGGAAGGAGGGATTCACTCAAGGAGCTCCATATGAGATGCTTTCTGCTTGTTTTTTCCAGGGTGTGTTGGAATCTGGGATAACATTACCTGCTGGCACCCTGCAGAAATTGGGGAAACCGTGACAGTACCGTGTCCAAAAGTCTTCAGCAATTTTTTCAGCAAATCAGGTAATATATCTTTTATATAATGGAAACCATATTTAGGTGTGTGTGTTTTTTTAAGGGTTCTCATGTGCGGGTAACAACAGCCAGAAATTAAGAAATCATTTTTGCTACGAAGAGTTCATTTTTAATTTGGTGATGGGCAACATACATACTGAAAGGACTGTTGTTGTCATTGTCGTTGTTGTTTTAATACCTGTATCTCAAGATGTGTACACTTACAAAGGCTTACTGCATGTCTATAATCTTGAAAACATGCAAGTGATTATATTCAGGTTTACATCAAGGCCATAGAGCTGAGCAATTTCTATGAATGTATGTCATGGATATCAGGTCTGCAGGGTCTGTGACCCACCAAACCAAAACGCAGTCCACCAGCTGTATATGGTGTCCCATGGGACTCTGGGTTTTGCAGCCTGTCCAGAACGGTAAACACAGGGCAGAAGGGTGGAGCTTGATTATGCACCTGGTAGGCCTCGCAACTGATGACTTGTGGGGCCAGCCCTATCATTAGACAGAGTGACACAGCCGCCTCAGGCTGCAGTTGCTGAGAGATGGAAAGTGGGAATAACTGTGTGGTCTGCACTGCATCCCCTATGCTGCCCTGCAGTGAGATTCGGCTGCCAGTCTAATTGGCTCTTGTACATGGAATGGGAAAAGGCACCATCTTGTCTTAGGCCACAGGCAGGAAAATATCTTCAGGCTGACCCTGATGACTGGTGGATGTCGACTGTTATAGGGGCCTGCCTTTATGTGGGTTATGGGCCACATTGGACCATATCTGACCTTGGATCTATCTCATAAACCTGGCAAGAAGCAAGAGAATGCCTTAGGAGAACCTTAGGAGCCCCATCTCCAGCATCATTGGACCCCTACACATGGGGCATAGCATTTGAACAGGACCCAAGGAACAGAAGTGTGTGAAACCCAACATATGCTGACCTATTTTGCACAATATTTTAGATAAGATCTGAAATATTGTGCAGGGCCTTTTTTAGAAGCGTACATTCAGCATCAGCAGAGGATGGACCACGTTTGTGTCCTTAGTTTAATGGTATAGCATGTGGTTTGCATGTAGAAGGTCCCATGTTCAGTCCCCAGCATCTCTAGATAGGATTGGTTGTGTTCCCCATCTGAAATCCTGGACAGCCTCTGCTAGTCAGTGTAGACCATGGGTAGGCAAACTAAGCCCCGGGGGCCAGATCCGGCCCAATCGCCTTCGAAATCCGGCCCACGGACGGTCTGGGAATCAGCGTGTTTTTACATGAGTAGAATGTGCCCTTTTATTTAAAATGCATCTTTGGGTTATTTGTGGAGCCTGCCTGGTGTTTTTACATAAGTAGAATGTGTGCTTTTATTTAAAATGCATCTCAGGTTATTTGTGGGGCATAGGAATTTGTTCATTTCCCCCCCAAAAATATAGTCCGGCCCCCCACAAGGTTTGAGGGACAGTGGACTGGCCCCCTGCTGAAAAAGTTTGCTGACCCCTGGTGTAGACAATATTTTGGTATGTGGACCAGTAATCTAACTCCATTATAAGGCAGCTTTCTACATTCTATGTTTCCGTGTTCCCACCTTGCTTATGGGATGGATTCAAGGGCAGGTATTCCCAATCCAACAAGCTGATCTGATTATTTTAGGGTTACGGCTCCAGTCTTATTATGGATATATAGATTTATTTAAGCATCGCCTACTTGGCAGGTGCATGTTTATGAATTAGCGTTCAGAAGAGTTTCCTGCGATGTTTTGGGACAATAGGAAAGCCCTCCAGTTTGTTGTTCCTTCTAGAACTTTCTCTCATCTCTGCTCCTCTTCTCATAATTGGGACAAGCCTTTTAGAAACACATTATAAGCGAAATTGGGATTTGCTGTGTGTCAGAAGAATATTCATCTCTCCAGCTAGTTATTCATCACTGCAGGATCTGAAGGCTTTAATAACCCTGCCATAGATCATTCAATATCACCTTAAATAACAGTGTAGGGTAATGAAAGGCTTTTTATGAAGATAATTTTATTCAAATTACGTCCCCATCTAACACATTTATAGCCGCAAATTAGTCTTCTCAAAAGCTGGACGCTAATAGAACCTCTGCCAAGTGATTTTTAAATGTCACACGGAGCCTCCTGATCTGTTGCTGACGAAGAACACACCCATACCTGGTGGAAGTATTTGGTCATTTTTCTAGTCGTGACAATACCATGGATGGATATAGGGTTTTATTTTGGGGTGGTGAGAGACAACTTAGGTTATCTGAAGTAAGCGCCAAATATAGACACATGGGTTCTCTTGACTTCAGCGTCAAGACACTCAGGGCAATCCTGATCCCTGGCTGGAAGCAGAAGGGCAGACTCAGCACTGAATCTAAAGTCCTGTCACCTCCATTGGCTTGGGAAGTGGGAAATGACCAGTTTAGGGAAGAAGAAGAAGAAGAAGAAGAAGAAGAAGAAGAAGAAGAAGAAGAAGAAGAAGAAGAAGAGTAGTAGTAGTAGTAGTAGTAGTTTGGATTTGATATCCCGCCTTTCACTCTCCTTCAGGAGTCTCAAAGCGGCTAACATTCTCCTTTCCCTTCCTCCCCCACAACAAACACTCTGTGAGGTGAGTGGGGCTGAGAGACTTCAAAGAAGTGTGACTGGCCCAAGGTCACCCAGCAGCTGCATGTGGAGGAGCGGAGACGTGAACCCGGTTCCCCAGATTATGAGACTACCGCTCTTAACCACTACACCACACTGGCACACTGGGAGCTTGCTGCTGGTTACCACTGGTGGTAGCTTCTTACCTGCCAGGGTGAAACTAGGCCTCCATTGTGACTGGGCAACCACCACCACCACCACCACCACACCAACACTCCTCTCTGCTGGTGGAGGCTAGTGATGGTATACATTACTATAGGTTATAGTAAATTGGCAGCAGGAGCCTCAAGTCACCTGTGAGGGACAACCTTTTTAGTGAATTAGAATTCCATTCCTGATTGCTACACTTTCGCCCCTTTTGTTTAGGAAATATCAGCAAAAATTGTACAAGTAATGGTTGGACAGATATATTTCCAGATTTCTTCTTTGCTTGTGGATACAAAGAAGTTGACGAAGACAGCGCGGTAAGTCAAACAATTCTATGACTCGGAATCGAATGTACTGGAGAACTATTGAAATTTTAAGCTGCCAATTTGTGTTAATTAAAGGGAAAAAAATCAAACTAAATGTTAGAGATGGAACACCATCCAGCTCAGTTTTAGAAAGTGCAACATAAAACACTGCTCCTGGAAGACTGCATAGGTCCATCTTAATTGTAGTGGCCCAAACCAATTGGCCTTTATGGGTCAAAACCAGCACCTAGAGTTGATTTTAGAAGGCAGTATGGACCCAGCGGAGATGCTGGAACATTGGTTGAATGTTCTAGAAATTCTAATTCTGCATATGTACTGAATCAAATATGCCTTGTCATCAAATAAATCTTGTGTTTTCCATATTTGTTGACGTTTTCCTCCTGTGACACTGCTGACTAACTGCGCAAAGATTTTAAAACAAAATGATAAACTCTACCAGCCAGACCTTATACAATCATGTTTCCTACAGTATTCACTCAATCAATTTTTTGGACCATTTTCAGGACCATACTAGGCCTCGTTTGAGAAATCATCCATATTTTTTTTTTAAAAAGATATTGCACCATGGTGCTGTGGAGGTAGAATTAAATCTTGCACTCTTTCCCCCATCAAAATCACCCCCCATAGCTGCTATTTGTCCCTACAGAGCAAAACATGCAGGCACCTGTGAGGCCTGTTTGTTTTGCCCTGTGGAGCAAATAGCAGCTTTAGGGGGCATTAACTGGGTTAATGGGAGAGGGAGTTAGCTAGTCTCACCCCACCCCGTGCCACATTGCCTCATGCATCCCTAGTGGTAGAACCTAGAGGAGGGGAAAGGTGTAGAAACGGACTCTGAATTGCGGGTTGTTTTGGAACCTTGTGTAACGTTAACATATGAGAGTGCTGGAGGTGAATTAGTTAAACAAGTTACCCAATCAGAACCCAGGGGGGTGGAGTCAGAGGGACTATAAAACCAGCTCTGGGAGAGGGGTGAAAGGGGAGTTCGTTGGGAGCTGAGTGGTTGGAGTGGAGTGGGATAGAGTCTGTGGGTAGGTTGAGTTAGTGTAGTGAAATAAGTTGAGTCAGGAACAGTTAGGGGCTAGGAAGACAAGTAAATATCTGAGGGGTGGTTTAGTAAGTGAGAGCAGGTAACGGAAGTTATAGGTCTGGATAGGCACCCTGTGATTGTAATTGACCGATACCGTTTATGAAACCACACGCTTGTTAAACTGCAATAAATAAACAGAAGTTTATGTTCCAATTGAAACCTGACTGGACTCAGTATTGTACCAGGTACGGCCTGGGTTGTGGCAGCGAGAAATAAAGTGGTGGCACAGGGGTGAATAGACAGTGAAACGTCCGGGGACCCTGTGTGATCGCCACACCTTGAGGGCCTGTGTCCCTGTGCAAGGGATTTACTTGAAGACAAGGCCTGTGGTGTAAATGTTACACAGAAGTCACCTTTACGGTGGGATGACTGGGAAACATTTCTGTGATGCTGGCCCTGCTCTAGCAATTTGTGGCCATGCTGGCGATCGCTACCACCCCCACCCCCCAAAAATTATTGCAACGGAAATTACAAGTCGTTCATGTTGACATATTTTCACTATGCTGTAGTTATTTTCTAAAGAAATGTGGGTGAAAACCTTCAGGCCTATTTCTGAGGAAACATACTGATCACTGAGGTGGTTGTTGTTGTTGTTGTTGTTGTTGTTGTTGTTGTTACTATTAGGATTGATTCCCATGAGGCACCCCAAAGCAATTTATAGTTGTTCTCCTTGGCCTTGGGATGTGGGTGGTTTTGGTCACAGGATAAACCAGTTCAGCAGGTTAGATGGAAGTGAGCTCTTCAGAACCACAAACCCCTCTCACCACCCCTCACATAGCTGAAACCGTGTGCCTAACGCAGCATCCTCCATGGTCTTGCTGTTTCCCTCTACAGTGAAATTGCACATGCTCTGGCCTCTGAAAACTCTGCTATGATGGGTGGATTCCAGCTCCAGGCAATAGATTAGAAATAGGGATTCAGAAGTGACCCATGCCTTTTAATGTCTAGATTTGCACTGCAGATTAGACAGAAGGAGACTGTAGGATTTGAAACTGTGCCACATCAAACTGCAGGCAGAATATTGAATTATTTTTTTAATGCCCACCCCACAGAAAACTGACTTGCATGGAGAACGCTTGCTCACCAGGGGGAAACATTTAGCCTAACTTTCCCACTGAAATTCTAGTTTCCCTGCCCCCCCGCCCATGCATAACTTTAAAGGGGAGGGCATTTCTGTCCCTGCCACTTCAGAATCTGATCTTATTTTGTGAGGGGTGTAGAATGGTTCCAAGAAAGCTTTCGAAGCCCCATCTAGAAAGTTATGATAGATGAAGATGTCATATTATGTGTGTGCCCCTGTTACTCTTTGCTTAATATATCTCTGCAAAGGCATGTTTCCTCCTGTGGGTTTTGACAACTATTATTAGCTTACTTCTGGTCTTTCTCATTTTATTCTGTCAGAGCCATGCATGTAGACACAGGGAACATTTGAACACTGTGTATATGTGGACAGCAGCTGCCTATAGACCTACTGAAGCTTCCCCCCACTTTTGTTCCTTTTTAATTACAAACAGGAAAAGCCTTCTTAAATATATCTGCACCTATATGGATATACATATTGCAGTAATTAGGGGATCTGAGGAGGCTAAGCAATTTAATTTTTCCAAGGAAGCAGAATGCAAACATTCAGAGATTTCCAGTAAGGGGGAGGGGGATGTGATATATATTTCCTTGAGTGACGCATGTCACACTGTACTGCATGTGTTAATAAAAGCTGTGGCCTTACCAAGCAACCACCATCCCAGAGACCATAGGAAACATGGAATTTCCTCCTCCAAGGGCAGAAAGAGATTGCTTCTATCTCAGAGAGGGAGCTCCAGTACCAGATTTTCCCTCCATGCTACTGCGGTAACTTTCACAGTCCTTCTCTCTCTGATGTTCAGCATAACCTTTAACTCCTCTGTCTCCTGTGCCTCCCATATTCCGTTCAGCACCCAGCCATATTTGATAGCATTGCAACAAAATCACCTTTTTTAGACTACTGCCATCTTTTTTAGACTACTTTTTAGACTACTGCCTTTTTTAGACTACTGCCATCGTCTCCTCCCTGGTTTGCCATTCTCTCACCGGGGTCCCTTCATATCCATCCCATACCCTGCTGCCAAAACTATTCACGCTTTGATCACACGACACCTTACTTAAACCCTTGCTCTGGCTTCCTGTTTTCTTCTGGGTTCAGCATAAGCTCCTCATCCTGACTTTCAAAGCCTTCCATGGACTTTTGCCCTCTTCTTCTCCTACCCCCATTCATATCAGTAACCATCCCAGTCCGTGACTTTCACTCCTCCAGCTCCACCACCCTCTGCTTTCTGAAGGTCTCCTGCTCCCTTAGATCCAATCCAAATTCCACCCCCAAGCTCCTACAAAGGGGGGTGATTTGCAGGCTTAAGAGCTTTGTGTTCTCTCTTCTGCAACTAACAAAAGCTCCGAAGAAGGGACTTACTGTAAGCTGGAAAATCAGTGCAGCAACAACTGGTTTTTTTAAAATTCCTCCTTACCCCCTTGTTGTTGTCGTCGTTTAGTCGTGTCCGACTCTTCATGACCCCATGGACCAGAGCATGCCAGGCACTCCTGTCTTCCACTGCCTCCCGCAGTTTGGTCAAACTCATGCTGGTAGCTTCGAGAACACTGTCCAACCATCTTGTCCTCTGTCGCCCCCTTCTCCTTGTGCCCTCCATCTTTCCCAACATCAGGGTCTTTTCCAGGGAGTCTTCTCTTCTCATGAGGTGGCCAAAGTATTGGAGCCTCAGCTTCAGGATCTGTCCTTCCAGTGAGCACTCAGGGCTGATTTCCTCCAGAATGGATAGGTTTGATCTTCTTGCAAGTCCATGGGACTCTCAAGAGTCTCCTCCAGCACCATAATTCAAACGCATCAATTCTTCGGCGCTCAGCCTTCTTTACCTGGATTCAATTCAAATAACACTCCCCCACCATGAACCTTTTTGTGTGTTGTGTTTTTTTTTTTTGGAGGGGTGGCCTGCCCCATCATGGCTCAAAACTTGAAGGAAGCTGACAGCAGCAGAGACACTTGCTCATAAGGCAGGTTCATGGCAGGAAAGGCAGATGCAAAGAACAGGACCTTGGACAGAGCACCATGGAAGGGGCCAGCTGGTGCTAGAAAAGCTGGTGCCTCAGGTGAGTGAAGAGGCCTTCTAAAGGGTGGCTGGCTTGCCCTGCTATTGGCCTTCCCTTCTCTGAGAAGCTGGCTTGGCTCCTCAAGTGCCATTGTCCAATCTGCAGCCATTGGCTCCTTTCACAGAGATGGGAAACCCGTGACCCTCCAGATGTTCATGGAGGAGAGGGTTATTGAAGGCTACTAGCCATTATGGCTAAGCCAAGCCACCACAGCTGAAGGCAGCAATGCTCCTGAATATCAGTCGCTGGAAAACATAGGAGGGCAGAGTGCTCTTGCAGTCAGGTCCTGCTTGTGAGCTTCCCACAGGTTGGCCATTGTGAGAATTTGATGCCAGAAGGGTCTGGAAACTAAAACTTGTGAGGAACACTTGAAGGAGCTGGGTATGTTTAGCCTGAGAAAGAGGAGACTGTGAGGAGATATGACAGCCACTTTCAAATATCTCAAGGGCTGTCTCGTGGAAGATGGAGCAAGCTTGTTTTCTCCTGCTCTGGAGGAGAGGACTTGAAACAATGGCTTCAAGTTACAAGAATTAGAGATTATGACTAAACATCAGGAAGAACTTTCTGATGGTAAGAGTTGTTCAGCAATGGAACAGACTCCCTCAGGCGTTCGTGGAACTCTCCTTCCTTGGAGGTTTTTAAGCAGAGGTTGGATGGCCGTCTGTCATGGAAGCTTTAGTTGAGATTCCTGCATTGTAGGGGGTTGGACTAGATGACTCTCAGGGCCCTTCCAATGCTACAATTCTGATTCTGTGTCTAGGAGGGCCATTGGTCTGATCCAGCTACAGAGCTCTTCCTAGGTTCTTATGTTGTCCTTATGATGTTGGGCTCCAAAACCCAGCCTGCGTAGGCCATGATCAGGAATGTTGGGAGTTGTTGTCCAACAATATCTGGAGGATCCCACCCCAGTGTAGTGTACTCATCAGAGTGCTGAGCTCAGACTTGGGAGACCAGGATTCAAATCCCTATTGAGCCGTGAACTTTACTGGGTGACCTTGGACCAGTCACCATCTCTCAGCCTCACCTACCCCACAAGGTTGTTGGGATACAAGTGTAAAAACAACAACAGCAGTAGACCCAAAGAACCAAATATTAGATGTATACATCACCCAAAGACTAGCTCATTATAGTGCAGGGCTGCCACCATTCTGCATGCTCATGAACTAGGCTGAGTACAAAGTTGGCAGCTGCTCCACTGCCAGGAGACCCAAATTGTGGTAGGTCCTGGAGGTGGGTCAACACAGAAAGGCCCCACTGAGGACAGCCTACCAAAGCCCCACCAAATATCTGGAACGGTCCTAAGCTCCACAGTGGTACCTTGGTTCCTGAACAGCTTGGCTTCTGCAAACCCAGAAGTGAGTTGTCAGGGAACTGCCATCGGACGGAAGGGAGGTGAAAGGGCTCACACAGGTTGGGAGAGACACAGCAGCTGAAGAGGGAACCAGCAGGGAGGTGAAAGGGCTCACACAGGTTGGGAGAGACGCAGCAGCTGAAGAGGGAACCAGCAGGGAGGTGAAAGGGCTCACACAGGTTGGGAGAGACGCAGCAGCTGAAGAGGGAACCAGCAGGGGAGAGGAGCTGAGCTGGAGGGATGGCTCAGAGACACTTCCAGCGAAAACAGTGGGGAGGTTTCAGGACCTCCTGTAAGAACACCCACTCCTCGCCGGAAACTGTCACGCAGAGATTCCAGAAGACGTGTTTCCGTTAAGGAGCTTTTATGTTGGAAGCGATTACGAAAGCAACCACTGTCGGAATCTGCTAGTGACTAGAGTAGCCATGTCTGAGGGGCTCCGTCACAGACAGAGGTTTGTGGACTTGAACAAACTCTGAGGGGATACGATTTTACGCACAAGCAGCTCATCATCCCATCACAGCATTCCGACAGACTTTGAAAGCAGCTTGTGCAGGAGAAGGCATCATGAGCAACCCAGCCGGAACCGGAGAAGCAGGAGCTGGAGCGGGTCCAAGCCTGGAAGAAAGGTACCAGATGTTGGAGGTCCAGCTAGCGATGCAGACGGCGAGGCTTGAGGAGAGGAGGGCTCAGGATGCAGACAAAAGGGGAAAGCCACCCAGTTCGCCAGAAAGGTACCAGGATTGGTGCAGAAGTTTGGGGGAGCCCAAAACTATCATGGCTTTCGGACAGAAATGCAATATGCCCTCAATCTGCAGTTTGATGAATTCCCTGACGAGGAATCACGAGTGGCTTTCGTGATTGAGCATCTTGAAAAGGGGGCGAGAGACTGGGTTAGACCCCTGATGGCAGCGAATAGTGACGTCTTAAAGGACACGATGAAGTTCTTTCGCGCCATGGATCTGATGTTTTCCAGCGATATTGAAAAGGGAGTGGTGCGCAGACAGTTAATGGGTTGCAAACAGGGGAGCCGATCTGTCCGTGAGTACTGGACTGAGTTCACCATGCTTGTTCACAGATTGGGGTGGGACTTATCGGCGGAACCCATTCAAATGCTCTTTGAAGAAGGGCTTTCTTCGGCTGTGAAAGACGAACTTTCCCGGGCGCCCAGGGCGGAGTCTATGGACCAGCTGACCAAATCAGCGCTGGCCATAGGAGCGCGCCAGGAGGCGAGAGCATTGGAGAGGCGGGAAGGGAAAGGGGAACGTTGGAAGGAGTTCCGCATTCCAGACATTCCAGAGCCAACTTTCCCACCGGCAGAGCCGATGGAAATCGGAACAGCGCGCGCGCGCAGTTTCAAAGCCCAGTGAGGGGGCAAAGAAGGAGGGAAAAGGCGCCCGGAAATGCTATCTCTGCCAACAGCCAGGTCACTTTGCCAGAGTCTGCCCCCAGAGGAAAGAATGGCAAGGGATGGTAGGAGCTGTGGATGGAAGAGAGGAAAAATACCGGAGCAAGTAAAAGCCAACGCCTGGCTGCCACTGTCAGGGCACAGCAGCCAGGCCAAAGAGCAGTGAGAGTGCCCACGCCAGAACCTCCTAAACCCGCCCTAGTGATAGAAGTGACGCTAGAGCTGCCAAACGGACACCCTCTAAAGATAAGGGCGCTGTTGGACTCAGGCAGCTCCTGCAATTTCATGAGCAAAGAGTTTGCAGCTGAACACCAGATACAGACAATCCCTTTAAGCAGCCCCCTGCAGGTGACCACGATCGATGGCAGGGAGCTGTTGGGTGGAGAAGTCAGCTTGCAGACCGTCCCAATGATAATGAAGGTAGCAAGGCACACCGAACTGATAGCTTTTAATGTGGCCACCTTGGGAGGAGCTCCCATTATATTGGGGATGAGCTGGCTAGCGTTACATGATCCGCTGGTGGGCTGGCATCAGAGAGTGGTTTCTTTTGGTTCAGCACATTGCTTAGAACACTGCAAAGAGGGAAAGGGTTTGGCAGGGGTCCAAGCCACCCTAGCAGGGACTGAAGTAACAGAGAACGTGAAGGTACCACGACAATATGCAGATCTCCGTGACGTCTTCAGCGAAAGGGAAGCTGACCAACTACCCCCGCATAGACCCTTTGACTGTCAAATCAACTTACTCCCTGGAGCACAGCTCCCTGTAGGCAAGCTGTACGCCATGTCAGACAGAGAGATGCAGGAGTTAAGAGAGTTCATTGACAAGAACCTGAAGAGAGGGTTCATCAGAGAGTCCAGGGCGGTGGGGGCAGCCCAGTGTTTTTGTGGATAAGAAAAACACGAACAAGCCGAGGCTGGTGTGTGACTTCAGGGCCTTAAATGCAGTGTCAGAACCAGTAGCCTTCCCTATGCCCAGGATTGACAACATTTTGACAAGGGTGCGGAAGGGAAAGATTTTCACAAAGCTGGACCTAAGGGGGGCGTACAACCTGGTACGAATAAGGAAGGGGGATGAATGGAAAACCAATATGTTCACCCCTTTAGGGGCATTTGAATATTTGGTTATGCCCTTCGGCCTACAAGCCGGCTCCGCAACATTTCAATCGTTTATGAACCACGTCCTGGGGCCTTTGCTTTACAAGAATTGTGTGGCCTTTTTAGACGACGTGTTGGTGTATTCTGAGAATGAGGAGCAGCATGTGAGAGACGTCAGAGAAGTGTTGAGCAGGCTGCAAGCCAACCAGCTGTGGGTGAAACTGGAGAAGTGTCAGTTTCATACCAAGGAGGTGGAATTCCTGGGGTATCGCCTGTCAGACAAGGGCTTGGCCATGGATCCCGGCAAGGTCCAGGCGGTGCTGGAATGGAAAACACCCAAAACAAAGAAGGATGTGCAGAGGTTCCTAGGATTTGGGAACTTCTATCGTAAGTTCATCCGAAACTTTGCCCACCTGACGGCGCCCATTACGGACTGTCTCAGCAGTAAGAAGAAGTTCGTGTGGACTGAGGAGGCGGAGCGAGCATTTGAGGAACTAAAAGGGCCTTCGCCTCGGAACAACAACTCCTGCATGTGGATTTACAAAAACCGATGAGAGTGGAAACTGACGCATCAGACAGAGCGATTGGGGCGGTGCTTCTGCAGCCAGGCAAGAAGGGGTCAGAGTGGAGACCGTGTGCCTTTTTTCGCGAAAGCTGAACAAATCCGAGAGGAACTACACGGTGTATGACCGAGAACTACTAGCCATTCATGAGGCGTTCCGGAGATGGAGGCACCTGCTAATTGGCGCACAACATAAGGTGCAAGTGTGCACTGACCACAAGAACCTAGAGTATTGGAGGACGGCACGAGTGCTCAACCAACGGCAAGTGAGATGGGCCCAGGAGTTCTCCAAATTTAACTTTGAGATTAGTTACGTGCCAGGCCCAGAGAACATTAGGGCGGACGCTCTCTCACGCAAACCTGAAGATTTGGAGGGGGAGGGGGCACCCGAAGAGAGACATGTCATTCCAGAGGACCGCTGGGTGTGTGGGGCGGCATTGGTGGGACAAAGAGAACTGGTAGAGGAAACAGAGAATGATGAATACGCCCAGAATAAGCTCAGAGGTCTTAGGGGTGATGGAGAGGAACCAGGGGTTTCGAGGAAAGAAATGGAGCTTTGTATTACAAAGGGGCACTGTATATCCCTGAAGGAGAGTTAAGGGGAGGGTACTCAAGCAGTTGCACGACAGCCCTACGGCGGGGCATTTTGGACAACACAAAACCATGTGGTTGGTCACCAGGGAATTTTGGTGGCCTAAGGTGAGGGAAGATGTACGTGAGTATGTAAGAGGGTGCGAGCAATGCCAGCGAGCCAAAGGGGAAAGGCGGGCGCCGGCGGGGCTATTAGAACCCTTACCAACCCCAGAACGACCTTGGGAGGCAGTGTCGATAGATTTTATGACTGATCTGCCGAAGTCCAAAGGGAAAACAGCCATCATGGTGGTGGTAGACCTACTAACAAAGATGTGCCACTTTGTAGCTTGCTCGCATGCAGTCACGGCGGAAGAGACAGCGAAGTTATTTGTAGAAAACATTTTTAGGTTGCACGGGGTGCCATTGAGGGTGGTCTCAGACCGAGGAAAACAATTTACTTCCAGGTTCTGGAGGAAGCTCATGAGCTTACTGCAGGTGGAGGTCAATTTTTCGACTGCCCGGCACCCTGAAACCAACGGGCAGGCGGAAAGAGCAAACGGTGTCCTCCAGCAATACCTGAGGTGTTATGTCAATGACAGAGAGAATGACTGGGTAGAAAAGTTGGCGCTGGCGGAATTTGCCTACAACAATGCCGAGAATGTGTCCACAGGGATGAGCCCCTTCTTGGCTAATTATGGGTGTCATCCCAGGGCTTTCCCAGGGGAGAGGGGAGAGATGGAGCGTCCCGGCAGCCGAGCATTTTGTGGAAGAAATGGAAGCAATCCATCGTCAGCTCCAACTCAACTTAGAAAGGGCGAAGGAAGAATACAAGAGGCAGGCAGACAAGAACCGAAGGGAAGGTGAAACCATAAGGGTGGGAGATAGGGTGTGGCTGTCAACCCAAGGGTTGCCGTTCAAAGGAGGTTGTAAGAAATTAAGACCCAGGAGGTTGGGTCCCTTTGAGGTCATTCAACAGGTCAACCCAGTGGCTTTCAGGCTCCGGTTACCCAACCACATGAAACTGCACCCAGTATTTCACAGGTCGTTACTGTCACCGTACGAAGGGGGACGAGAAGGGCTGGCCCTCGGGGACCGGTCGTAGAAGAAAGAGAATGCAGCAGCCATGTGGCAGAAATCCTCGACGCCAGGTGGAAGGGGGATCAGGTGGAGTATTTGGTAGCGTGGGAAGGAGAACCGGAGTCAGAAAACACTTGGGTAATGGCTGAAGATATCAATGACGAGGTATTGATAGAAACGTTCCATCAAAGGTTCCCAAGGAAACCTCAGCCTGTGGAGAGGTTCCGGAGGGAATACTTTGGGACCACTGATGAAGGGGAGGAGTTGGAAGGATTCCCGGACTCGGAAGGGGAAGGGGAAATGGACTCTGAGGAGGAGGTGTACTTCGAGACCAGGAACCGCAACAGGTTGAGAGAAGTGTTCGAGACATCGGAAGATGAAGGAAGTTCATTCCGGGGTTTTGCCTCCTCACCGCCCGTAGAGGAGGGGCGAGAGGGGGTGAAGGGGGCCCTGGAGGGGAGGTGGATGTCAGGGAACTGCCATCGGACGGAAGGGAGGTGAAAGGGCTCACACAGGTTGGGAGAGACGCAGCAGCTGAAGAGGGAACCAGCAGGGAGGTGAAAGGGCTCACACAGGTTGGGAGAGACGCAGCAGCTGAAGAGGGAACCAGCAGGGAGGTGAAAGGGCTCACACAGGTTGGGAGAGACGCAGCAGCTGAAGAGGGAACCAGCAGGGGAGAGGAGCTGAGCTGGAGGGATGGCTCAGAGACACTTCCAGCGAAAACAGTGGGGAGGTTTCAGGACCTCCTGTAAGAACACCCACTCCTCGCCGGAAACTGTCACGCAGAGATTCCAGAAGACGTGTTTCCGTTAAGGAGCTTTTATGTTGGAAGCGATTACGAAGCAACCACTGTCGGAATCTGCTAGTGACTAGAGTAGCCATGTCTGAGGGGCTCCGTCACAGACAGAGGTTTGTGGACTTGAACAAACTCTGAGGGGATACGATTTTACGCACAAGCAGCTCATCATCCCATCACATGAGTGTTCCAGTTTGCGAATGTTTTTTGGAAGCTGAATGTCCAACTCAGCTTCCGCAGCTTCCGATTGAGTGCTGGAAGCTCCTGCAGCCAATCAGAAGCCGTGCCTTGGTTTTCAAACCATTTCGGGAGTCGAGCAGATTAAGTTTGAGAACCAAGGCTACATATGTCCTGATTAAATTGCTATGGCCGACTCAGGCAACATTTCTGTGAAATTATGTATTTCTTGCCTGGTGCTATACTTTATTATACTTGATATTCTGATTTACTAGGAGGGGGGCAAAGCAGAATATTTGATCACACACTTTTGCCTTCAAAATTGAAGTGCAGGAAAATGAAAATGCTAATGAAGCATATATGCTTGGAACGAATCTTTGCAAGCTTCTTATCTCTAAAACAAAGTAATAAGATCATTTTTATGGGGGGGGACGCCTTTCGCATTGCATAATGCAATCAAATCTTCTAAAGCTGTACAGTGCAGAACGGATTGAAGATATGACATTTTATTATGGTGCTTTCTTACGTCTGACAGGGAGTGTCTGTAGCAGCAAGAACAGTCTGATTTGGAGAAAAGCTGTTTCCTGGTGTGACAGTATTTTTAAAGTAATTAAAATAAAGCTTCTATGTTTTCCACATTATTTGCAACTGGTAGGCTGTGCATGTGACTGCTGTGATTTGCAAAATAATGTCAATTAAAAATACCAGCTGCCATGGTGGGGGCTGGCTGCAGGCAGTGGAAATGTTGGGCATTTCCTGGGGATGCACGACTAGCAGGTGGGGGCCCCTGAACCAAGAGCACCCACCTTTTCAATATGCACAGAAGGCACAAGAAGGTCAGAAACTGTGTGTCAGGGGCTGCACTGAGGAGGAATGGCGGGGGCTGCCCCCTTCTCCTGAACCTTCCTGAGGACAGTGTAGATTTAGAACAGTGGTTTGCAGAAGGACATAGTTCAGAGACTGCAGAGTGGAAAAGCTGGGAAATACTGGGAGAGGAACAGCAGGAAGAAGGAATACCGGGGAATTGACAGCTGACAGACTCAGTGTCTTTGGAAAGCATTCCTGAGCCCCCTCTCCCAGGACCAGACAGGCATTGAGGGTAGTGGAACAGAAAGCTCAGAGGCAGAAAGCCCAAGTCAGGGATGATGTTGGATAAGAGAGACGGAGGGGGTTAGGCTTTACTTGGAGCAATGCCATTATTTAATAGGGACTACATTCCTTTCTCTCTCTCTGTGACTACTGAATAAATTACGTGGTAAGGACTCTTCTTGTTTACCTGCTTTTTTGGCTGCCACCGGGGGAGGGATAGGATTCCCTGAACCTTGACACTGTGAGAAAAATTTCTGTTTGCACCTTCCCATCTTCTTCCAGGTCAAAGGGGCCCAAGGAGAGCCCTTTGACATGATGCTCATATTCCATCTCCACTGTTGGGGGCAGTATAACTAGGAACACCAGGTCCTGAGGAACATAGTAGGAAGAGTGGTGTTGCCTTCAGGTGCAGCATGTGGGCTTCCCATAGCCAACTGGTTGGCCACTATGAGAACAGGATGCTGGACCAAATGGGCATCTGGCCTGATCCAGCACAGCCTTTCCTATGTTGTTGTTGCCCTTGAGTCCTGCTTGTGGGCTTCCTGGAGGAGGTGTTTAGTTAGTAAGCAAGAGATGGGGCTAGATGAACCTCAGCTAAATTTTTCGAAGCAGAACAGCTAGGACCAGAGGTGGCAGCTTGTGAGGTGATGGGTGTGTGTGTCAGTGTTGCGTGTGTGAGCGTTGTGCCTCCCTAAGTCAGGCAGAAACTTCCTAGGCTTTGGGAAAGGTGCTGGAGCCCTGGTGCCTCCTTGTCAAAGCTGAAAGGGCTTTGGGAAGGTGGCCGGAGGGCTCTTGGACCTTGTTGCAAGCAAAAATCCACATCTCTCCGCAAGGGGAGCAGTTGGCTACTCTAAATCCTCCTCCTTCCAGCAACATCCTGGGCTCATTCTTTGTTCTCTAATACGGACAGACCTCCTAGTTCTTGGGGAGGGAGTGTCCCCCACACTCTCTAATGACATTTCTGCTGACTGTTCCCTCCCTTCTGTTTCTCTTTCCATTATCTCGTAACTCGGTAACTCCTGCCTAAGCTGTTCAGTGTCTGTGTCTCTCTCTGTTCCTGAAACCGCTGGAAACAGGGAGGGCGGATCTTTCCCCTCCTCTTTCTCCTCTTCAAAGAGGAGCTGATCTGCCTGAGAATGCATTCCCCAATCATCTGATTCATACCGTTTCCTGGCAGGATGCTAGATCCCTGGTGCCTCCTTCCCAAAGCTGAAAGGGCTTTGGGAAGGTGGTGGAAAGGCTCTTGGGCCCTGTTGGAGCATCATGTCACCCTCGCTAAGCCAGGCAGAAGGCTCCCAGTCTTTGTGAAAGAGGCGCCAGACTTTAGTACTCTATTGTTTACCAGGAACCTTTAGGGGGAAAGCCTAGACCCACCAGTCCTCTGATGGCACACCACTGACGGACCTTTCTTCTGACCTAACATGCCTCTTCCTGCATTCTTAAGCTGTGGTTTCATGTCAAGCAGTGTCAAATGTGAAACTGCAGCACGACTCATTCCGGAGAGATGACTGTCGAATTCTGGTAGATTCTGGAAGTCTCTGTAGACCCCGCAGCAACAAAGTTGACCTTTTGGCTAACAACTTTTTTCGCCTTGCTAAGCAAAAGTGCGAAATATGCTCTGAAGTGGAAAGAACGGCCTGTCAAGCCACGCTCAAGCAAGCTAACTTTAGTATATTATAGCCAGCAAGCATATTAATAGAAAGCTGCATAGATTTTTTTTCTGCATGGCTAGATAGATAGATATATTTTTACAGTTCTTTGGTTGAAAGAAATGTACTTTGGGCCATGTATGCAATGAACTCTCACATAATTGGGAATGGCTTTCAGATCAGTAGGCACCAATTCTATTGAAGCATCCGTAGATTTATATTCACTATACTCACTTGGTTATTAAAAAAACATTTCATTAAACAGAATTTAAAAATAGCCCCCAGTAGAGTATTTCCAATAACATTACATCCAGGAAATTAAAAAGTAGTAATTTTCATTTGGTGCAAGAGATACAAAATAAATGCATTATCTCTATCACCGCGCCCTTTCCGTATTTCTGAGGCAGCTAGCAACATGTGTCCTTGCATGTCATCACTATATGCAAATAAAATTAAGGGTTTTTGTGCCTTGCAGGGGTCTAACACAATCTGTGATTCCCCCCCTCGCAAGTGTGCAATAGTCCAAACATTTTTATGCCAAGCTCTCATTCTTCCAAGGAATTTCATCTCTGAATTACTGGTTGTCATGCTGCCACCAACAAACAAGATCAATATAATAGTAATTTATAATAATAAAAATAATAATAATAATAAATAATAATAATAATAATAAATTTATAATTCACCTTACTTTTCCATCTATAAGATGCCCCCGTGTATAAGACGCACCCTATTTTGGGGGACTCAGATTTAAGAAAATGGGGGGAGATGGCACAGAGTTGTCAGCTATTGGGGGGATTGCCGAAAATTGCTCACCCGCAAGCGTCCAAAAATCCACCTCTCATCTGTCCCCAGAAGTTGCCAATCACCCGCCCAATTGCCACAGCGTCAGCCAAACAACACCAGCCATTGACGCAGCAACCAATAACACGCCCAATAGTTGCTGACATCCGCAGCAGCAACAAATCAAATGTCCACCCTATGCACTATCCATGTATAAGACGACCCCTCACTTTTTAGCATAATTTTTAAAGTAAAAAACCTAGTCTTATACACGGAAAAGTACAGTATATCCCACCTATCTGGGCGGCTTCCAACAAAATATTAAAAATACAGTTCTTTACATTCAATATTATGGTTTGATCTCTCAAATATTGATAAGGAAAACAATTCCAGAGTTAAGGCTTGGATAGTGCCGAATGCACTGCAATGGCCACTTCCTGGCCCCTTCTTTTAATGAGAGGGTTGCCCATGAGTACTATGAAGGTCAAATGCCTAAGGTCCTGGAGAGGAGAGGTATTGCTGGGTCTACATATGGAAGATGCAAATGTTATTCTGTGCATGATTCCTTGGCAGTACTATAAATCATCCAGTTTTGGTGAATGTTCTATTTATGCTCTTCTTACGGTGACCGATGCATGCAAATTGTTTCTTTTGTAGATTTTCTATGTTTTGGTGAAAGCGATTTACACCCTTGGACACAGTGCGTCTCTCATTGCTCTGACTACAGGAAGTATAATTCTTTGCCTTTTTAGGTAAGTATACCTAAAAATCGGGATGGGGTAGTAAGCTGTTTATTAAGCTACAATCCCCTCTCCACTTACCTAGAGTAAGCCCCGCTGAATATAATGAGACATGGTTACGGTTGCAGGCCTAGTCCCACTGAAATCTATGCGACGAAATTGTGACTAACATAGTCTGAATCCAACCCATAGCAATGCTTGAATAGCTGTCAAAACAAAGCGGCCAATTGTAGATGCTAATGAAATACAGAACCAGCATAAACAACTGCCATTAAAAACATTTTAATTAATATATTCTGCCATTGGTTTGTTAAGAAATGACATTTGCAGGTTTTTCTTTAAGGCTGGGTATTCGTTTTGCTAAGAGTAAGAAAAATGATAATCACTTGCTCTTCCGTTTTTGTATCCTTTCCCCATGTGTAGGAAACTTCACTGCACTAGGAACTATATACATTTGAATTTGTTCCTGTCCTTCATTCTAAAAGCAATCTCTGTCTTGGTCAAAGATGAGATCCTCTATTCTGGTAGTAACACAGTTCACTGCTCAGAGGATCAACCATCCTGGGTAAGAAAACAAATTGCTATAACTTGAAGCATTTTTATCTTTCCTGTGCTGTGTTTTTGGGTGCATGAGAGAGCATTAGGGACACGGGTGGCGCTGTGGGTTACACCACAGAGCCTAGGACTTGCCGATCAGAAGGTCGGCGGTTCGAGTCCCGCAACAGGGTGAGCTCCCATTGCTCGGTCCCTGCTCCTGCCAACCTAGCAGTTTGAAAGCACGTCAAAGTGCAAGTAGATAAATATGTACCGCTCCAGCGGGAAGGTAAACGGCATTTCTGTGCGCTGCACTGGTTCGCCAGAAGCGGCTTAGTCATGCTGGCCACATGACCCAGAAGCTGTTCACCTGCTCCCTCGGCCAATAAAGCGAGATGAGCGCCGCAACCCCAGAGTCGGTCACGACTGGACCTAATGGTCAGGGGTCCCTTTACCTTTTTAAGAGAGCATTATATTAGTAGCAGACAGGTTGCATAAATACTCGTGTGCAGTGGCACCAATCTATGGGGCCAAGATGCCTTCGGCCCCCGCAATATTTGTTGGGAGGGAGCTGGGCCCCCTTCATGTAGAGGGGGCAGAAGAAGCTGAATGCGGAGCCAAGCACAGCACGGCTTCAGTAGTCAACTCCTCCTGAGAAACAGAGAGAGAGAGAGAGAGAGAGAGAGAGAGAGAGAGAGAGGAGGAACCGCCACACTCAGCCTCCTCCTGACAATACAACGTTGCACATGACGTCATGGACATATGACGTCACACATATGCAACACGTGCATGATGTCACGTGTGTGTGACACACAATGGGCCCCCTCAGTCTTGGGTGCAAGTCAACACCTCCGCTGATGGGGCTTTGGGGTGTTTGTCAGGGTGGGGAAAGTGTGGCCTTACAGATGTTGTTGGATTTCAACTCCCATCGGCCTCAGCCAGCATGGCCAATAGTCAGGAGGGTTGGAAGTTGTTGTCCAACAACATCTGCAAAGCCAGAAGTTCCCTATCTTCGTCCTAAGTGCAGAAATGAACGGGCAATAGTAGATGAGTTGGTGAAGAGAACCAATCATAATTCAAAACACAAACATCTGGGTCATATATCCACACCATACATGCAGTGAGGCTGACCAGTGAAGGAACAGGGCAGGATTCCAGCAAACCCGTCAGAGGTAATGTAATGTGAGACCCAAAGGAAAGAGGCATCGATTGCTTTAAAAAGCAGCATGATTTGGATCTAGGGCAGGAGGCCGGTCCACTGTCCTTCAGACCTTGTAGGGGGTCGGATTTTTTTTTTTTGGGGGGGGGAATGAATTCCTATGCCCCAGAAATAACCCAGAGATGCATTTTAAATAAAAGCACACATTCTACTCATGTAAAAACACCAGGCAGGCCCCACAAATAACCCCAGAGATGCATTTTAAATAAAAGCGCACATTCTACTCATGTAAAAACATGCTGATTCCCAGACCGTCGACGGGTCGGATTGAGAAGGCAATTGGGCCAGATCTGGCCCCTGGGCCTTAGTTTGCCTACCCATGATCTAGGGGCACTTCCAAACTGTCATTCTTTTTGGATAGGGTTCAGTCACAAACAAGCAAATTCAAGTTTGCATAATTAAAGTTGACCTGGTGTTCTTGTGCAACTAAACCATTTCCATCCCCTAAAACACCATACTCAGGCTGTTGCCTTAGGGAAATCATTGCCTGAGCTCTCCATCTGAAAAAAACCCTGATATAATAATGACCTATCTCACAGGGTTTGGAAGGTCAAATAATTGCAAAGCACTTTCTGAATTCAGCATTTTTAATAAATACACAGTGACAAATGGTGAATTGGAAAGGGTATTCAGTGGGTGGAAGATGAACTGTGACATTTGCTTCCGTGCTATTCATAAAAAAGTTATTAATAGGATTCCATGTTGATGTAACATAATTAAGAGCTAAATCCTAAATACACTTACCTGGGTGTAAATACAGAGGGACTTCTATCCATGCATAGAATTAGACTACAGATAAAGATAAGGGGCCACAAATCAGTGAAAAGGGCACATATTATGTACACTGAGAGCATCAAGTCAGTTTGCAGCCCCGTCCTGCAAAAAAGGCCCCATGTAACATTACAGGAAAAGGTTGGTGGACAGCTGCTGCCAATCAGTGTAGAAAATTGTGAGTTAAACGGACTAACAATCTGACATCTACTGTGCAAAACCGCAATCAAAGATCTCCTTGCTTGGGGAATTTCCCCTTTCCTTACGTTAATATCTCCACTCTGTTCAATGTAGCCATGAAAACCAGGAAATCTGTAATGGTGGGAAACATGCACGAACCTTTGCATGTCCCTTGAATGAATCTTCCTGAACCGTTTTCTTTTGCCTTAATTAAATGCGATTGGCTGATAAACCTTCCACAGAGCTCCCCATATCGCTGACTGAGATGTCAACATTACTTGTCACTTCAGAGGTTCAGGATCATGAATTTAGCAGGGAGACACAGGTTAGGTTTTCATTTCATTTCTCCTCTCCTCCCCCCCCCATTTTTTCTGGCTAATTTAAGAAGGAATTTCAAGACAGCAAGTTTTGTCGCTGTAGTTAAACTGGTATAAATCAATATGCTGCAGTGTTGTCCAGGTGATGTAATATCTGCAGCAAAGAGTTGCTTCTGCTGACCCCAGTTTAGTTACATAAGAGCTAGGAAGAGCTTTCAGTCGCTCGTTATGCATTCCACAGGGCTATTTTTGCTTCTGGCACAGCTTCTATAGAATAAACTAGCTTTAAAAAGTGACAGGAGCCTCTTCCCTAAACCAAATTACTTCTGGTTAACTGGTGGTCCTGATTATTACCTCCCTGCCCCAGATTAACCTCGACAGTGGTGGCATTTTTATTCCTGGAATATTTTGCCCTGAAATGAAAAGGAGATATTTAGGAGGAAGGAATAACACAAGGTATAAAGAGAGGGAGAGGGAGAGAGAGACAGGATGGTTTTTAGGACACAAGACAAATCCCAAATTTTTCACTAGGGAAGCAAGCCTTGAAAAACACTTGGTGTTTGTTTCCGTTCACTTCTAAAAGTTATAATTTGACCAGAATCCAAACAATAGAAAGAGGCCCTTTCAGGCGACCAACAGGCAAGTTCATGGAAGGGGAAGTCCCTCATGTCAGAGCTTGTATCTATCAAAGAAAGATTTTTAACAAAGGAAGCCATTTACTGTGTTCAAGCAATTTATTTACCCAAACGTTTCATCCTTGGTTTGTAACTTTCCAGGTCGGCTGCAAGGGTAGCTTGGTAATTTTCCAGTACTGTGTAATGGCCAACTTTTATTGGCTCTTAGTTGAAGGACTTTATCTCCACATCCTCATGGTCATATTCTCTCCTAACAGACACTTCGCCTTATATCTCCTTATTGGATGGGGTAAGAAGATTGACACAACCTTCTTTTCTTCTCTCTTTGCCTCTGCTGTGTAAAAACGGGGTCTTTGTATCTTAGCTCCTAGGTCTGGCCTCCAGAACTTGAGATCCAGCAACATGGACACGCACGGCATACATTGGGGCTGCTTGACTCCCTCACCCCCATCTCTCTTTCTGAGCTTCCAAACAAGCAGCAAAAATGGAGATGCAACCAGCTCCTGCTGCTGGTTGATGAGATGTATTTGGCTGGGTGGTGGGAGTCACATGTTGTGCAGGCCTGACCTAAATACCGTACCTTTCAGTGTATAAGATGCCCCCATGTATAAGACGCCCCTATTTTGGGGGACTCGAATTGAAGAAAATGGGGGGAGATGACACAGAGTTGTTGAGGTGTTTGTGTGTGTGAAGGATTTCCCAGAGTTGTTGAGCTTTTTGGGAGGAGGGGATTACCCAGGGTTGCTGAGCCTTTTTTAGGGGGGATTGCCGAAAATCGCTCACGGGCACGCCTATGTCCCATCGCCAGCAGAAGCTGCCAATCGCCTGCCCAACTGCCGCAGCGTCAGCAAATCAACACCACCCATTGACACAGCAACCAACAACACGCACACAATAGCCGCTGACAGCCATGGCAGCAGCCAATCAAACGTCCAACCTATGCACTATCCATGTATAAGACGTCCACCACTTTTTGGCGTGATTTTTAAAGAAAAAAACATAAGTCTTATACACCGAAAAGTACGGTATTCAGATTGCTTGGTTGGTGGACCCAGAACTCTTGAAGATGATGTATGTGTGTATGTGTAAAGCCTAAAACCCCTGGAGGAGAGTTCCAGCATTCCGGGGAAGAAGGGAATCCTGAGACAAGCTTATCCATTCATTCACTGAATTTGTATAGCCACCTTATAACATGAATTCAATCAGTACAACAACTGAAATGCAATATATAACAGGGCTTATCCACACTTCCTCTCGTCCCGCTGCTTTGCCCCCCAGGGAAATTGTTCTTTAGTGCGCAGTTGGAGCAAATGGCAATTCAGGTTTTCTCCGGGTTGACCTTTGCTCTGATTTAGCATGGATTTAGGGTTCTCCCTGGGAAAGGAGCAGGGCAAGGGGGGAACTGCTTGGACTCGTGCCTAGACAGCACAGGTCAAGTGGGAAACTGCTCAGACCGATGCGTTCTAGAAATGGATGGGAAAAGCAGAAGTGTGGACGAGCCCACAGTAAAGTGTATAAACTAAAAGCACAATTGCCATATTTTTCGCTCTATAGGATGTGCCCGACCATAGGACACACCTTGTTTTAGAGGGGGAGAACAAGAAAAAAAATTATCCCCCTCTCTGTGCAGCGCCCCTTCAGCAAAGCGGCAGGAGAAACGGAGCCCCTTCCATTTCTCCTCCTGCTTAGCTGAAGGGGCGCTGCGCCTTAGCTGAAGGGGGACCTACCCTTCAGCGAAAGGAACCCAAAGCCTCCGGAGCGCAGCGGGAACTCAGGCGGCTATCTTTGAAGCCTGGAGAGTGAGAGGGGTCGGTGGGCTTCAGGCGGCATTCGCTCCGTAAGACGTACACACATTTCCCCTTAATTTTTGGAGGGGAAAATGTGCGTCTTATAGAGCGAAAAATACGGTAGACAGGTTGCAACACTATGCACAGTGAATTGCTATTCTGGAGCCAGATAGTATGAGGGATAGTATGTTGGGCTTCCAGCAGACAAAACATTTATTCCAAGCTCGGTCTCTGGTATCTCCAGTTAAATGGGGTTTAGGTAGCAAGGCTGACAAGGGCCTCAGCCTAAGACCTTACTTTTGATTGTTTCAGCACCACAAATGTGGCAGTGTCAGCAGTCTCTCCCTCTCCTCTGCCACATGTTTAGCTACTTTAAACGTTTAACTAAATTTAAGAAAGGATTTCTAACACTACCTAGCAATTAGTTCTTGCACCATGGGATATTTTTTGCATGTAATGCATTCTAATGTTGATGCATTGCGGAAGTGATCTATTTAACAATTCTCCTTTCCCTCCACTTCGTATTCCACTCTCAGGAATCCCCACAGTGTTCATCATCGCATGGATTGTGTCTAGAGTCTATTTGGAGGACACTGGGTAAGTTTAAAAAGGAAAGCAAACTTGATGCTTCCACGTTTTGTCGCCACGCGTCCTTTGGCAATTGTGCTATGTCCAATATTACCAATTCTTGGAATGTCAGAATTCTCTGAGGTGTCTATGAAACATTTCATGAGGTTCATTCACGGTCCAGGGACAACGGGGAGTGACAGGTGATGAATTCATCATTTTAAAAATATTTTATATTGGCTGCTCCCTGCTACTGTATAGAGCAGACTTCCTCAACCATCCTGGGCATGGTCTGCTGGGAACTCTAGTTCAACAACATCTAGAGGAGACCAGATTGGACAGGGTGTAAGCGCTTGACATATGTAGTTCTGCGCTCAACAACAGAACGCAGGATTTGCACGCAGGTTCAGTCCTGTGTGATTCAGTCAAATGCCTCTTCACATATTTGATTTGGCTTAGAAGGCTTTAAAGGGGGATTCAACAACTTCAGGGGAGGCCAGGTCTTTCAGTGGCCAAAAGTAACAGTGGCTGTGGGGAATTTCTGCTTTGTTCTTGAGGAGCAACACCAAGAGAGGGGCTGTCACCTCCGTGCCCTGTTTGTTGGCTTCTCAGAAGCACACAGCTGGCCACTGTGTGAACTAACTCATAACAACTTGGGCACCCAGAGTGGCGCACATGCCGTGCACCCAGGGGGGAGCCACCTGGGGGCAGGGCGAGCTGCCCAGGGGGGCATTTGGCATGGCGATTGGCGCCCATTGGGAGCGATCAGTGCAGTGATCAGAATGGCTATCGGCACCCATTGGGGGCAATCAGCACCCGGGGGGTTGTGTGACAATTGGCGCCCAGGATTTTGTCACACTCCCCCAGGATGACACCCAGGACAGACCGCCCCCACCGCCTCCCCTTCCTACGCCCCTGACTCAAAGCGCATGGTAAATTCATCTTTTAATAAAAGTTGCTTGCTTTGCTAATACAGTGGATCACAGGCATCAGGTTGCTCCAAAAAGTGAAGGGGCCCGGTGTGCACATGTGACATCACACGTGAGCCATGTGATGTCACACATGAGCCATGTGATGTCACATGTGTCTCCCAACGCTGCACAAGCCAGTGCATCCTTCCATTAGATCGTGCTAGATGCTGCGCAGGCAGGTGCAACCTCACTACTCTTGCAGGAGCTAAAGGGACTCCTAAACTGCCAGCAAGGAAACCCCACCCCCAGGCCCTATAAAAGGGGTGGACTTGTCTGGCTTTCTATAGCTTCTCCTGTTATTGAGGGTTCTACTACTGTTGCTGCCTCACTTCAGCCCACCTCTCCATAATTCCAGCACTGACTTTGCAAGAGAAAATAGTGCCTGTTTTTGTTTTTTTAGGAGGTTTTGCCCTTTTCCAATTTGCTTGGCATTTTCAGTGCAGCTTCTCAATTTATTTACCGTATAAATGGGATTAATAATTTTTAAAAATTATTTCCTCCCTTCTTCCCCAATAGTTGCTGGGATACGAACGATCACAGCGTTCCTTGGTGGGTTATAAGATTACCCATCCTAATTTCAATTTTAGTAAGTAAATTCAAATGGCATGTTAACGCTTCGGTTTCACACTGTGATTTTCAGCTCTGTAATTCTGTACGCGTGTGTCGATCTGAGCAAAGTGTGCTATCATATTTTAACGTATTGATTTTATTTATAACCTACTTTTCAGCTCAAGGTTGATATGATCCCTTAAAGCAGCTAATATAACATGTCCGTCAGAAAGAACTCCTGCTAGCACATTGAAATATGTTTTGGGTTTTTTTAATTCCCACAAAGTCCTAAAAACAACAGTGAAAAATGCAACGGCACACCCCCCCCCCCGGACACAGTCCTCGAATACTTAGTGGACCAAAACAGCCCTGCCTGCTTTATAAAAGTTAAAATAGATGTAGCTAAATCAGCCTCCATATGCAAGATCACTTTTCATAGGGCTAACTATCCAGAACCAAAGCATTTTCTATGCAAGCTGGTGATGCTTGCAATACTTACCCCATTACATCCTGCCAGAGCCATACCTTTTCAAATCCCCATCATGGAATTTCATGTTTCAAAGGATTTTATTTTTTATTTGTAGGCCTCTTCATACATAGGGTGTGTGTGTGTGTGTTTGCACGAGTGTGCATGCACAATGCATTGCATTTTAATATAGATGTGTATAAATTCCCTCTAATGGTATGCTAAGCAATTTACAAAAAATTGTAAATAATCCCCCCCCTCAAAAATATATATATATTAAAAATAGAAGCACTGTAGCTCTAGGCTGTCCAGAAACCATCTGTGCTGACCCTGAAAACCCTGATGGGGTTTTTTTGTTTGTTTATTTGCTAATTAGGTCTTGGTGAACCCCAAGCTCTAATTAGCCTTGTTTATAAGTGACAGGCAAAAGGCACATTAATCGTGAATTAATTATGGATTCATTATACTCGATGTCAATTGTGGCAGCTCTCTTCTTGTCCCCAAAAGTATAATGAGAAGATAGGTAGGTATTATTATTATTATTTATTGAATGTATATACCGCCCTATACTAGGAGGTCTCAGGGATGGTTCACAGAGTAGCAAGGTAGAGTAAAATTGCAGTAGGCAGGACAGGAGCGAACAGAAGTCAGGCTTGTCAGATGTACTTTGTTTTTTACTGGAACTCCCAAGATCTTTCAAGCCCTTGAAATTGCCCACCTGCACTCCCAAAATCTACGCAAAAGTGAGAGGACAGTTGTAGCCTCTCTCTCTCTCTCTCTCTCTCTCTCTCTCTCTCACACACACACACACACACACCTCTGCTTTCAGCTGAGGTTATGCCTCCATTTATGAGACAAAAATATCTCACTTCTGGCTTAACGTCTATAGGACACAAGTAAATTATAATTCAGTCTCCCTGTTACTTTTCATTGGGTGGTGGTCGACTTTGCCAGAAGTCAAATGGCTGTACCTTGCCCTTTGGTAACACTGTCGAACCGAGCTGTTAGTTTCCAGTGCTGCTAACGGCTCTCGCCATTGATTCAGCATGTTGGAAACATCTCCCAATAACATTTTGGCCATGGAATAATCCTTCTTGGCAAGCTTTGGGCATTCCGTGTCGTGTTCCTCTCCTTGGTCTTTTAAATTTGAGATGTCCTGTACCTGCCACACTGTTCAGTACTTGGCACAGTGAAATTCTAACAAGCCAAAGAATTTGAGGCAAAGACTCAAACAGGTGAGAGACACATGATTAGGATTCAATAGATGGGATTCCTGCATTGCAGGGGTTGGAGTACATGAACCTCGGTGTACCTTCCAACTCTGCAATTCTATGATTCTCCGATTCTCTGTCCTTATGCTGCTCTTCCCCCACCCTGGTGCTCTCCAGAAGTTTTTTACTACAGCTCCCATCAGCCCCTGCTTGCATAGCCAATGGTCAGGTATGATGGAAGCTAGACATCTGGCGGGCACCAAATTGCAGAAGGCTGTCTTATACTCTCCTTTGGTGAAGGTGTTGTTTTAGACTAGCGAAAATCTGAACTGAGAACTACATAGGACTTTTTGCAGTCCTGCAGTTACAAATGACCTGCCTAGCAAAGTCCTAGAGACATAGAATCCTAGATTTTTATAGTTGAAAGGGACCCTGATGGTCATTTAGTCTAAAGCCCTGCAATGCAGGGATATGCAGGTGGCCCGTATAGGGATGGAACTCACAACCTTGACATTATCAGCACTATGCTCTAACCAACTAAGCTGTGTCCTATCCTGCCTTTCAGCTACAGCCCCCTAATGTGGTTTATGCTAAGCTTGGTGTTGTGTAGGGCTCAGAGCAGGGGTCAGCAAACTTTTTCAGCAGGGGGCCGGTCCACTGTCCCTCAGACCTTGTGGGGGGGCGGACTATATGTTGAATAAAATAAAAAAAGAACGAATTCCTATGCCCCACAAATAACCCAGAGATGCATTTTAAATAAAAGGACACATTCTACTCATGTAAAAACATGCTGATTCCTGGACTGTCTGCGGGCCGGATTTCAAAGGCGATTGGGCCGGATCCGGCCCCCGGGCCTTAGTTTGCCTACCCATGGCTTAAAGCAGCCTTTCTCAACCTGTGGGTCCCCAGATGTTGTTGAACTACAACTCCCATCACCCCTAGCTAGCAAGGCCAGAGCTCAGAGATGATGGGAGTTGTAGTCCAATAACATCTGGGGACCCACAGGTTGAGAACCACTGGCTTAGAGTATCAGACTGGGGAGGTCCATATTCAAATCGTGGCTCAGCTACAAAGTTTACTAACTGACCATGGGCCAGAATTTTTAATCAGGTCCAGCCCTGCTATTAGAGTGAAGCAGCTTCCTCATGTACCTTTTCATGTAGGGTATCATGAAAGGACTATAAATTGTTAGTTTTTCAGTTTACTCTTATTGAACTTTTACTGCCAGGGAGAGGTGTGTGGATTTACTGGTGTGCATGCATGCTGTCTTCTAGGTGAATTTTGTACTTTTCATCAGCATTATAAGAATTCTACTGCAAAAGCTGAGATCGCCAGATGTTGGAGGCAATGACCAGTCCCAGTATAAGTAAGTGAAACTCCCCAGAAGTCCCTGTTGGGAAAATGGAAATTTAGGGGATCTCTGTTAAGCTCTGATTCATCCTTACTTTTTTGTGTGTTGGCGTGTTTTTTTAGGAGACTTGCAAAATCGACATTGCTGCTTATACCACTGTTTGGAGTTCACTACATGTTGTTCGCAGTCTTTCCGATTCGCATTTCAAATAACTATCAGATCATTTTTGAGTTATGTCTGGGATCTTTTCAGGTAAGATATATCCCAGTGTTGTTGTTTTTTAAACTGACATAGTTCGTTATTTTTACTGAAATAGTTTATTGTTAAGTTTAACTTAATATTTCCCATTTACAGGGCCTGGTTGTTGCAGTCCTATACTGCTTTCTGAACAGCGAAGTAAGTTTTTATTTAGTCTCTTGTGGTAATAACTAAGGAAGGGCTATAGCTTACAGGTGCAAGCCACAGCATTCTAGTTCCTTGAGCTTTCGAGGCTTTGTGAGGGACCCAGGGCTGGTGTTAGTACCCAGCATTACCAGAAAGTTCATGGCACCCCATCAGGACCCCACTTCTCTGCTAATAAAGGTCCTCTACCCTCCTGCCCAGATCAGGCAGCTGAACCCGCAAGGTAGTGTTTCCTGCAATAGGGGAGGTGCCATTTTAAGCCATAGTCACACCACACATACAAAACACTACGATACCACTTTAAACAGCCATGCCTTTCCCAAGGAATCCTGGGAAGTGTAGTTTGTTAAGCTGCAGTTTGTTAAGTGTGCTGAGAGTTGTTAGGCTACAATTACCAGCCCATCTTTGTAGGAAACTCTGGGAATTGTGAGGGGAATAGGGGTCTCCTAACAACTCTCACCACCCTTAACAAACGGAAGCTCCCGTAATTTTGGGGTGGGGTGGGGGGAGCCATGATTATTTAAAATGGTATCATAGTCCTTTTAAAAGATGGTGTGGCATTCATTTCCCACAGTGCCCTGGAGCAATGTTGCGTCAGGGGCATTTGGGGTAATTAATATGGCAACTCCGCTGCCACCCACCATGACTAACAGGTAAGCTTGCCAGGTGTTGCCCAGATAGAGGAGGGACCCTAGAGAACATTTGGATGGGTATAAAAGGTAAAGGTAAAGGGATCCCTGACCATTAGGTCCAGTCGTGACCGACTCTGGGGTTGCAGTGCTCATCTTGCTTTACTGGCCGAGGGAGCCGGCATACAGCTTCCGGATCATGTGGCCAGCATGACTAAGCCGCTTCTGGCGAACCAGAGCAGCGCACGGAAACGCCGTTTACCTTCCCGCCACAGCGTTACCTATTTATCTATTTGCACTTTGACGTGCTTTCGAACTGCTAGGTGGGCAGGAGCAGGGACCGAGCAACGGGAGCTCACCCCGTCGCGGGGATTCGAACCGCTGACCTTCTGATCGGCAAGTCCTAGGCTCTGTGCTTTAACCCACAGCGCCACCCGTGTCCCTTGGATGGGTGTGGGTGGGTGCAAATTTGGATTCAGCTCTGACCAGGGATTCTTGGCAGCTCTGCTGTCTCTGGTTCAGAGGTATCCACTCTCAGCGTTGTATATCTGAAATATCTTCCTGAAAAGGAATTATTATACAACCTTGCTGCATGTTAAAGCATCGTGTGTGGGGGGGGGGAAGCATTGCTGACCTTTCCGAGCCCCCACCCCGACCCCCAAATTGATGTAAGCTTCTTATGAATGTGCACACCTAATACTCTGCGTGCTGGTGTGCTCTGTTTACATTTAGGTACAAGGCGAACTGAAAAGAAAATGGCGGAGTTGGTGTTTGAACCAAAGAATGGGCCGAGATTACAGACTTCACAGCTCTTCTATTTCTCGGAATGGCTCAGAAAGCATCTCCCAGTTGCATCGTAATTCAGCGACTCAGTTTTCCCTCCAGACGGAAACCACAGTGATATAAGCCACGTGGGTGCCTGCAAAAGACTAAAGATTATAGGGCATATCGCTGCATTGTACAGCTCAGTCAGCGTGATAACATTTTATAACGTCTGTAGAGTTTTTACCCTGTTTTTGTCTACATGTCAAAATGTGGGAATGGCCTAGTGCAGGTCGTGGTATCCTTTGAGTTTAGCCTTAGAACTTGTTTTCAGCTGTAGGATTTGTGTGTCCTTGGACCATAGGAAGTGGTGTGTTTTGATGCATTTTTATTAGTTATCATTCTGACCCCTACCAATTCCATGCTGAAAATAATTGGGATTTACTGGATTAAGAAAAAGGAAAGTTGTGCTGCCTCAGACCAATGTCCCTCTAGCTTAGCATCCATTTTTCCAACAGCGTTCAGCCAGATATCTCTAAAAATATCACAGCAAGACATGAAGGCAAGAATCCTCTACCATGGTTGCCCTCTAAAACTTGATAATTTTGGAGATGCACTTCCCCTGAACTGGTATGGTATATATAGGATCATGAATGGCAGCCATTGGTAGCCTAATATTTCACAAATGTATCTAATCCTCTTTAAGGTCATCTAAGATGCTGGCCATTGCCACACATTGTGATAATGAGTTCCATAGATAAATTAGGTGAGGTCTGAAGAACTTCCTTTTGTCTGTGCTGAAGTTCCTGCCAGTCACTTTCAATTCATTACCCTGGCATCTGAATCATTCTCCCAGATGCCCACTATATTGCTTGCTTGTCCACTTTCTTTCAGCAAACACTTCCCCATTTGCATGAGGCCAAACATCGCCAGACTTAGGACCAGCTCTGTTACATAGATGCAGATCGTGATATCAACCCACATTGGCATGTAGGCCTCAGCCTGGTCCATAGTTTCAGAAGAAAGTGTTACTAGGTTTCGGTTCAAGGATGGGGAACCTTTGGCTCATGGACCTAATGAGGCCCCCCCAGACCAACTCATTTGGCTCACTAGTCCCTTTTGGCCAAGCCATATCGGGTAAAGACATGGGGGCTTGCAGACACCACCCTAGAACTGATGAGCAGCCGCTGCAAAATATAGCCCATGAAGGTAATCTTCAAAGTCTAATGACAATTTTAAATTTGGTGAACTCTAAGAAGCCTAAGGGGGTGGAGGCTTGGGTAAGATGTCATACACAGACCTTTGCCATGACTAGCAGAAGAAAAGAATTAAGGTTTTTGTAGGAGACACACACAAACTGCAGAACTCAGCTTGCACGAACTTTGATTAATAGAACATCCTTGCTCTTATCACACACTGGCATATTTTTCCTCTGTTCCTACGGTTTGGCTGTGCCCTGAGTATTGATTATTATGTTGCACTTTTAATTTGCAAATGGTTTCGCCACCATTATTGCATATGCTCTCTCAACAAGCCAGTGATGTCGGTCACTATTATTACCATTTTACAAATGGGAACTGCGGTTGGGAGCCAATGATTTGTCTCAGGGTTGTGCAATGAGTCTTGAGACAGAGATTGGAACTTGACAAAGGAGGAACGGTGAACCGCACGGAGACAGAAAAAAGACTGTATAGACTGAGGTATGTGATACCTTAAAAACCATGGGCAGGGAACCTTATTAGCTGAAGGGACACATTCCCTTCCAGGCAACCTAGAGCTAGAAGTGGGTAGAGTCTGTTTCTTTTATATTTCTGCTATAAAAATCTTTGCCATCTTGGGAATTGACTAAGGTAAAGGTAATTGACTAAGGTAAAGGTAAAGGGACCCCTGACCATTAGGTCCAGTTGTGACTGACTCTGGGGTTGCGGCGCTCATCTCGCTTTATTGGCCGAGGGAGCCGGCGTACAGCTTCCGGGTCATGTGGCCAGCATGACTAAGCCGCTTCTGGTGAACCAGAGCAGCGCACGGAAATGCCGTTTCCCTTCCCGCTAGAGCGGTACCTATTTATCTACTTGCACTTTGACGTGCTTTTGAACTGCTAGGTTGGCAGGAGCAGGGACCGAGCAAAGGGAGCTCACCCCATCGCGGGGATTTGAACCGCCGACCTTCTGATCGGCAAGTCCTAGGCTCTGTGGTTTAACCCACAGCGCCACCCGCATCCCTACTATATTGACTAAGAAGGCTCAAAAGGATGCTGCAGTTTACAAAGAGGTTTATCCAATTCACTTTCAAAGCAGCCTTTGCCAACCTGGAAACCTCCAAATGTTTTTGGAGTACAACTCCCATCGGTGCAAGCTGGCTGGGGCTGATGGGAGTTGTAGTCCAAAAACATCTGGAAGGTTCCAGGTTGGCAAAGAGTGATATATTCAAATGCGTCCCCTCTTCAGACTTTCAGTTCCCCCATACCGGGTCCTTAATCATGAGAGGAGCCTCTGGCCTTGTTGGGCAAAGTTATTGGACTTGTTTCTTCATCCTTCTTGGAATGAATGAGTGAATGAATGGATTTGCATTTGGAATAGTTGTACGTGGGATGAATGGCTGTCTTTTGAACACAGGGATGGGGAATCTGTGGCCCTCCAGATGTTGCAGCACAGCTGCCATCATCCTGACCACTGCCTTTGCTCTTAGGAGCTGGAGTCCAGCTGGAGTGCCATGGCTTCCCCATTCCTGTGACAACGGTTCTCATTAAATTCTCCAAATACTCGTTTTGTGACTTGCGTGTTTTCACATACGCCGTTTCCGATACTAATTTATTGTATGCATTTTTATGTTACGTCGTCATATATGTATTATGTTTTGCCTGTTGTTAAGGCTTCCCTTTTTGTTAGCTTGCTATTCAAATCTTTAATTTCAGCAGACAGAAAATGATGGCTTTTTGTAGTGCTCTAGAGTGTCCACAGCACCTGAATTATATCATTAATCTTTGCGACAACCCTGGGCTTTGGGTCAGTATTGGTATTCCCATACTGCAGATGGGAGACTGAGGCTAAGAGATGCCACCAAGGATGTCCATTGAGTCACAGCTCAGTTTCTTAACAGTGCAATCCTGAGCGTGTTTACTTGGATGTAAGCCCCACTGACTTCATAAAGAGCAGCCATAGACACTACACCAGCTCTGTATGTGCAGAGTGACTTCATTTTAATGCTTGCTATGTCCCGAACTCCCAAACATCTTGGAATAAAAAACATGGTTTCCAGATCAAATAGTGTGGGTAGCACAAGTCTTTTCGTGTAGTCAAAACCTGTCACGCTTTTGTGACTTCTTTAATGCAACAACTCTTCTAGCATACTTTGAATATCATTCTATATATATATAATTTTCTTTTCCAGTGTTTATGATATCTGCCGAGCGGGTTTCCATTCATGCTGATGTGCATTTGTAAAAAGTAAAAGAAGAGGTGGGGGGAGTGGGAGGGAACAAAACTTTTAACTATTGCTTAGGACACCTAGGACATAATGATGCAGATTGAAAAATAAAGCTTGAAGCAGAAGGCACTAGGCAAGTTACTTGTCCAGAGTCAGAGAACAGCACCATTTGGAGCAGGGGAAAGAGAAATGGACCAGGCTTGAATTATTCCTAGCATTAGAACACCTGGTTGCTTAAGGCTCACCACAATAAATAGGAATAACAATATATATATATATTTAAAACACTAGTCTGTCAAAAAAAGAATTTTAAAATATTTACCTAGAGCATCCAGGTAAATCTTTACCTAATCCCATCAGTTAACCAAAATTAATGTTCTTGACCAGCCACCAGTCTATATATGTTATAGGATCATGCACTAAAACTTTTCCTGGACTGTTGGGTCGGTGTAGCATTGATGTTCTGCTTATTATCCTCACTTACTTTTCACCCTTCTCTTCCCAGGCACGCTCAATGTCTGAGTTTTGTTTCCCTCCGCTTTTTCGTTGCCCCAAGCTGTCCTCACGAAAACCTGCTCTTTAAAGCTGAATAGGAGCACAGGTCAAATTGGGGTTTCCACAGATGGATGTTTGCTCCGATTGAACTTCGTAGAATGAGTTTTCACAAGGAAAGCTCTGGAGCCAAAAAAATAAAATAAAAAATGGCGCTGGAACACACAACATTAAATTGTGGACCGTGCCTGGAAAGGGCAGTGGAAAGGTACGTGTGGCTACACCCACAGTAAAGTACAAGCATAACTGGATTCTGAAGGCCACATGGCTTAGTTCAGTTTCCATGTTCCTTCCATCGATGCTTCTGTGACTCAGAGCTAAGAAGAAGAGTTTGGATTTGATATCCCGCTTTATCACTACCCGAAGGAGTCTCAAAGTGGCTAACATTCTCCTTTCCCTTCCTCCCCCACAACAAACACTCTGTGAGGTGAGTGAGGCTGAGAGACTTCAGAGAAGTGTGACTAGCCCAAGGTCACCCAGCAGCTGCATGTGGAGGAGCAGGGAAGCGAACCCAGTTCACCAGATTACGAGTCCACCGCTCTTAACCACTACACCACGCTGGCTCTTTCTTTCTGCCATCCTTTCTTGGCCGACTCTTCTATGTCCTGGGTGGCTGTTGCAGATGTTCTTCTGAGTCACAGCTATGCGTGCGCATATCTGCAGCCTTTAAAATCATAATCATAATTTTTTTATTTATACCCTGCCCATCTGGCTGGGGTTTCCCCAGCCACCCTGTGCGGCTCACAGCATATATCAGAACATACTAAAACATCAAATGTTAAAAACTTCCCGGTACGGGGCTGCCTTCAGATGTCTTCTAAAAGTCAAATAGTTGTTTATTTGCTTGACATCTGAAGGGCGGATGTTCCACAGGGAGGGCGCCACTACCAAGTCGCCTGACTCCTAGTATGCCTGAGGTTTACTGGGTGGAAGGAGGGGAAATAGGTCACAGCAGCACAATGAGGTGCCTTAATATTTCCCAGGCCAAACCTGCCATTCTATCAACCAATCCACAATGTCTGCTCCCGAGGAGCCTTTCATTTTGCTCCTTTCTTTTCCCATCTCATCAGCTTGGTACATTTTAAAGCAAGCTGACAAAGGACGCATTGATAGGCCATAACATTTTTGCAATGCGTCAAGTACAAATGCCTCTTCCTGCATGATTA